GCCACCATCGCCCGAAACCCAAAACCCTAAACTTGCCCTAAACCCTAGGACCGTAACTCGACCCTAAACCCTAAACCCTAGGACCACTTTGCAACAGCTTCGCCTCGTGGCAGAGCCAAGATCCAAGCGGAAGTGTGTGCCCGCCCCTGGACGAGTGCTCGAAAACTTCGACAATGAGAGCTATGGGGGCTCCCTTAAAGGGGAAACTAAGGGTTCCTTTGAAGGGCTCTACAGGGGTACTATAGGGTTTAGGGTTAATGGGGACCCCTACCCTATAATGGGGCTATTTAATGGATATATAACCCTTGGATGATCGAAAACTTCGACAACTTGTACAACAAGTTGATTTTTCAGCTCCTGTTTTGACATGTGCCCTCTACAAGTCTCCAGATTTAGGCTTTAGGGTTGAGGGTTCAGGGGTAAGACAGATACCAGCAGTTTCACGATGGCCAGTATAGCAACGACTCTTGCAATAGCAACAACGGCACTTCAGGTGTCAGTGACCATAAACAAGTAGGGCAGAGAAGTATGGCTGAGAATGGTACCAGTAGTGTCCAAAGCTGTGATACCAACCATATCCGGTTCATCGTAAGAGCAGTAGCACTGCAACTGCCATCAACGCAGCAGTTCAGCAGCCCGGATGACTTGCTGGAGTGACATTTCGATTGTGATCCAAAACAATGGCCTAGATACAAACGCACAAATGCACAGAGACACTGTCAGATTAGTTGTATCTGTGTGGGTGCAACCGTAGATGTAGGTGAAAGTGTAAGTATATGTGTACGTGTATGTGTACGTGTATGTATAGTAGCTGTGCATATATACATACCAGACACATATGCATGTACATACATGCATGCATACATACACACCTACCTATGTATCATCTATATATATATGCAATATATATATATATATATATATATATATGTACTTGTTTGCACTACACACGCACACGGAGACACTGGCCCACCGAGAGAGAACACGAGACATGAAGAGAGAAAGAAAGGCATGTGCATCGTAACTTTGTCTACACATGTGTGTTTGGTGAGACCCCGCTATGATCCACCATTATATCCTTCTTACATTAAGAAAGAGCCCTTTGGAAACACACGAAAACACAGTGCACATACTGCTCTGAGACTTGCAGACCTCTCCACAGCACGAAATCGATAAATATTTCAGTTGCGGAGGATACTTGTATCAAAGGGCCCTCCTTAATGGGAACTCCTACCCTATAATGGGCTATATAATGGGTATATAATAGCTATATAAAGGGTATATACCTAGGGGTCCTTATCAAGTGTCCCTCCTTTTACCCTTGGATTGCAGTCTCCCAAAACGTTGAAAGCACACTAGTCCGGCCACTGTGCCCTAAGTTTACAGTAAACCCCATAAGTTTAAAAACTGGATTAAGGCCAGATACTGCTGGGACTCCCTACACATTACTGTTAAGGAATGAGGCTATCGGGTTTCCAACTTTTTGGCTTCTACTGTAAGCCCGAACTGGCCTCCATGAACCGGCAGATCAAGGTGGAAGTCGTCCGTCCGGAAAAAGTCCACCTTGAGAAAGTCGGGGTCGGGAAAGGGCTATATAGGCCTATAGTTCCATGGACCTTGATGCTTAGCATACTGTTCTTGTTATTTTGGCTCCCAGGGATTTACATAGTAAGGTTCCTCTAAGGTTTTGCAGGCTTGGCAAGTGGAGCATAGAGGTGTGGTACATTGAGCAACCATGCAGCATGCACGCTTCTCGCGGTTTGGACCTGAACGGAAACTGGCAGTCGTGGCGTGATCTTGTCGTGTTTGGAGTATTGGTCAACACCGGGCCCTTGGTCACCCTTGTCCTTTTAGAAATAATAGACAGAGCCCGTATAGGTATCCCTTAGTAGGAGTTATTTAAGAAGGTCTACTAGCCGGTCTGTTTATTCTTTTGGGGGAACCATGAAAAAGGACAAGGCTGCCCTTGGTCCCTTAATAGAACGATACCGGAACTGAGCAATGCATCCGAGAATTGGGTGCTGAGGATTGCAAACGAAACTCCACAGCACAAGCAAACGTAAGCCGGGAAAAGTACCCCGTGACGGAACCACGCAAAGGACACCCCCCCCCAAGCTGAGGTGCGCACAGATACCTGGGCGCTTGTCGTCATTGATTGAGTTCTTCTTACGGCATTTAACTGAAGTTACCTTCATTAGGAAGCCATATCATTTTTCTATAGAGCCCTTTCATGGCAGATTAACACTGACCTCCTCATAGCTAGAACTCAATTGATTGCGTTTTCTGGCTTCAGGCTGGAGGAGGCCAAGTTTCTTCTGCTCTTGTGAACCGACTTTTCGGCGACGGGCTGGTCAATTGCTAGGGTTTAGGGTTTAGGGGTTTAGGGTTTAGGGGTTTAGGCGTTTAGGGTTTAGGGGTTTAGGGTTTAGGGTTCAAAAGATCATGGGCAGGCTGCATTGATTCGGCTTGGCACTGTCTGTAATGCCTCTTCGTCTGCGGGTGCTGTGTATGCGTTGGGCCTACTAGGCTTCCAACATGCTTCCTGTACCCCCCTTAGAACCATAGTACAATTAAAACTAGAATGTTTTTCGTGTTTTGTTGGGGTTTATATGACCAAAACTTGAAAACCCTGAAAGGACTACCCAAAGGCCCCAAAGTAGTTCCTTTTGGGGGTGCGTATGTAGAATCCTATAGGGCAATCCCAAAAAGGAACTACTATGGGGCCTACGGGTGTAGACTAGGATACCCAGTAACCTAAGAATAAAAAGGCCTCTCTTTTTGGTATTGGGTAACTTTATCAGGAACCTAGGACTACAAAAAGGGAATAAGGGTACTACTGGGCATCCTAGCCCCTAATTTTCGGAAACCCTAAACCCTTTATAGAACCCTTATAGATCCCTAAGGGTACTACTGGGCATCCTAGTAGATTCTAGAATCATGCAAGACGTCCCTGGCTGCTTCGAGGGACCCCAGAATGGCGTGGCCCAGGCCTTCTTAGAGGCCCAGCTTGGAGGGTCGGGGGACTTAGTAGGGGGGCTCCTTTAAAGGGGATTCTAGGGGTTCCTTTAAAGGGCCCTTTAAGGGTACTATAGGGTTTAGGGTTCAGGGACTTAGTAAGTAGGTAGTGATTAGAGTTATAAGTACCCGAAAAGGGACCCTAATTGGGGTTATGGTACTTACAAGTCCCTAAAGTAACCAGTTACCAAGTCCCCCGACCCTCCAAAAGGGGACTTGGTAAGTCGGTGATAAGTAGGGTCATCACAGGGGTAACTCCACTCGCGGTACTTATACATCTACTTATAAACTACTTACTACGTCCCCTGGGCCACTAAGGAGGCACTCCTTCCCGCAGTCGAACACCACGGAGTCTGCGTTGGGCATGTGCCGCGGGACGACAAACAAGTATGACTAACATTGCTAACCTTCGTACATGTACTCTTGCTTTCGACCAGATTCCACCACCAAAACCGAAGCAGCTGCCCATAAATGTGTTGCTAGTGTACCATAACTTGAAATGCTACCGATAGGGCGACTGAAATCACGATGGCCTCCTGACAAGTGTTCTCATGTCGAAAAAAGCTCAGATATTTCAACTACCACCGATACTAAGATCATGAATTTTGAAGCTATCAACATGTTTGTCATCATGATTGCTTGGCAGGCCAAAGATCCCCACTACATGTGACATCGCCGAACTATCTCAGAGCTCGGCAGGTTTGAGGTATTGGTCTCCGAAATTTCAGAACTGTCCGGTGTTTAAGTCTGGGGAAGAGCGACCCACTATAACAATCGGCTCGCCGATGGAATCCATGGTTGGCTTCAATGCCATGTGAGATGTTTGAGAATCCGAACCTGCCAGGCATGAAGCTGCGGTCAGTTTGGTTTAAGACCGTGGGCCATGTACACATATGTCGACGTATACACACAACTTTACACATACATACGAACACGTTGTAAACAAACGACTGTCACGAGCCATGCTGTCAATACATTTGCCAGTACTGCTGCTACTACCACGGCCCTAACGTTTAATGCGCGCTCATGGTTGTGAGATGTTTCAAAATGTTTAAGGTTACTGTTGGTACCGACCTGCCGCACACCTTCCGGATCATATGCTGGTGCCGGAACATGTGCGACGCGTGTGCTATCTTGTACTTGTGTTCCAAACACGTCTTCGGGATGCAGTGACATCACCAAAATGCGGACGAGATGGCATTTCCATCGAAGGAGTTGCTTGAGGAGCAGTGCGCAGACACCTGACGTGGCACAAATGCAGAACTCTCTGCGTGTTCTCAATCTGAGCCTGGAGTGACAGCTTTCTGGGTCTCACAAACACTACAATTAAAAGCAGCTAGCAATACAATCACCACCAGCACCAGAAGCAACAGCAACACACTCTGACTTACTTGGAGGTTCACGGGTAGTGATAAGTGGGGCAATTAGTCCCCGAATAAGAGTTATAAGTATACTTACCCTACTTATAGCCCCACTGGTAATTACCCATGAACCTCGAAGTATCATGAACCCGAAAGCAAAGAAAGCCTTCAACTTAATCTGACACTGCAACACTTGAATGCCGGCTCCCCTAACACACGGGAAATTGTAGGTGCAGGCGCAGAGTCAGAGGGTCCAAGGACCTGCATAATAGAAAGTAGTGTTTCTACGAAAGTGAAATATGTATCTATGTGGTGGATACCTCCCCAAAGTATACTAATAGTATTACGGTTTATGGTTTAGGGAAGTATCCACCACATAGATACATACCGGTAGGACCCTTTGGAGGGTTTGGAGCCCAGGCTTCAGGAAAGACAGTTTGGGTTCAGGGTCTAGGGCTTAGGGTTGGGGCTTAAGGCTGCGGCACCCTAAGCTCTCCACCCTAAACCCTAAACCCCAAAACCCTATAAACCTTAAACCTAAACACCCTATAAATCCTAAATCCCTAAAACCCTGAACCCTAAAACCCTAAACCCTACACTCTAAATAAATCCCTAAACTCTAAATCTCGAATCTCTTAACCCTAAACCGTGCGGCCTGCAGCGTCCAGTTCATCCGCGGCGGGCAACAAACCTCCCCCGCGAGGATAGGGAGGTCATGCTCTGACACCTGGCACTTACACGGTTCAGGGATCAGGGATTTAGGGTAAAAGGATTCAGGGGTTTAGGGATTAGGGGTTTAGGGATTTTAGGGCTTTGGGATTTAAGCATTTCAGAATCAGGGACTTTAGGAATTTAGAGATCTAGGGTGTAGGGAATCAATTAGGGATTCACGGGTTTAGGGATTTGGGGTTTAGGGTTAGAGATCAGGGTCTAGGATGCTTAACTTAACTCTTCAGTAGCTCTGACAACTGGCTGGCAACTCAAAAATCTTGCAACATGGATGATGAGTTAGCAAATAGTATGCACGTTTTGGCCCTAACATACGAACCCTTGAGCCCTAAACCCAAAACCTAAGCTCCTAAACTAAACACCCTCACCCGTAACCTTAAGGCCTAAGTGCATACTACATCCGCACATGGAGCCTTCGGGTCGGGTCTCTGGGCTTTGGACGCTGATCGGAGGCTCCACAGCTCTTGGGCTTGGGGTCTAGGGTTTAGGAGTTTAGGGTTTTGGAGTGCGGGGTTTAGGGGTTTAGGGTATAGGGTTTAGGTTCCACAACTCTTGGGCTTCTAAGAAAGGCGGCTTGCGGTTCAGCGTTCGAGACTTCTTCTTGCTGCGGGCTTGCTCTAGACCCTATGAAAGACTACAAACCGTATAATCTGAACACGTTGGATGTTCCTCTAGACCCTATGAAAGACTATAAAACCGTACAATCTGCACACTCAGGGTTGGGTGCTCCATAAGGACTTTGTGCGCAGACTCAGAAAGCCTGTCTCGGTTTCGTATTTGCGAAAAGTTGGGATCCCAGGAGTTCTTGATGGCTCCGGGGAAAAGGGGAAAGGAGGGACCTTAATGGGGACCTCTACCCTATACCCTAAACCCTAAACCCTAAACCCTGGGGCTATAGAATGGGTATATACTAGTTATATTAAGGGTATATACCTAGGGGAGGTTTCGATCCAAACCCTCAACCCCCCCCAGTTTAAATCGTAGACCCCTACACCTTGGAGCCTTTAACCCTAGATAAGCTCAACTCAAGCTGCATCCACGCCTAAGTCATGCGATCGTTCAAAGCTTGTAAGTAGCTGCGATGATAGATAAGGGTGCTCCATTTACAAGTGCCTGCAGCCATCATCGCCCCGACAAAGGTACTTGCAACTTTGCCTCCCCGACAAAGGCACTTGTAACTTTGCCTCTCTTCTTCAACCCGAACCCCAAAAAATCGAACTTTCTAGGATGGACGAAAGGTGTAAGGACAACAAGTGTAAAGTTCTCCCATTGACTGTCTGAGTTACACACGAATACCGAATACCCATGATCCTCGAAGTACTGAGCCCGCAGACTTAACTCGATATGCGCGTTGCCTCCACCCCATAGCTAGATTTCGACTAAGACTGTAACCGAAGCGCCTGGATAAAGACGTGCAGAGCCTGAGGGATGTGGGCCCCATCCCCCCTACCCGCCCCAGACTCAGACTCAGCACGTTAAAGTGTAAACCCGAAGACCAGAAACACTGTTGCGGCACGTACAGCAGGAGCCAGTAAGTTGGAACAGCATTATCCTGAAATTAGCCTCATGCCCCAAAGGCAAGGCATCGGCTATGGCTTCGAGCAGAGGATGTAGGGTAGCTTTTGCATGTGTGTTTCAGTTCTACAGTAAAAATTCAAGGCCCTCGAGAAAAAGCAAGCTTTCCAGTTTGCACCGACACACAAGCCACCGTATGACGTCCTCGCCATGTCGACTCTGAACACCAAAACCCATGAGTCCTCTTACGGAGACTTCCGTGTCTGACAAAGGAAGAAACATCCGGGAGTTCCGAAAATTAGGGGTACCTTATCTTGGGGTCCTTATGAGGATCCTGCTATTTAAGGTACTACCTCTCGGGCTTGTCTTAAACACCTGCTGCACACCGTCAGCAAAGCGTGGGTGTCAGTCTCAAACCCTAGGGATCAAAATAGCCCAAAAGCCTCATATAGTATGGTCTTTGGGCCCAAAAGCCTTTATGCCTTTATGTATGAGTCGTTAGATCCCTAGGGAAAGGTCCCCAACTTGTTCTTTTTTTATGGTGAGTGTTCGACATTCAACAATCACGAAAATCAAACGTGTTTCCCAGATCGGCAGATAGTAGAACCTTGGCTTAAAGCTGAAAGGAAACCACACGAATTCAGGGTTTAGGTGACTAAAAGTGGGAACGTGCTCTTGAATTTGCGGTCCCTAAAGCGCGACCCAAAGACCTGCAGAGGAATTATGCGGAAACTCTGAACCCTCAGATCATGGATTTCGACGAAGACTCCGCATACCTACTGTACAGGCTGAGAGGATAGAGAGAGAGAGAGAGAGATGAGAGGGAGAGGGAGAGAGAGAGCGAAAGAGCAAAAGAGTAAAAGAGCGAAGGCGGGAGAGCCAGCGAGAGCGAGCGAGAGAGAGAGAGAGAGAGAGAGAGAGAGAGAAAAAAAAAAAGAGAGCGAGAGAGGGAGAGAGAGAGAGAGATAGAGAGAGAGAGAGAAAAAGAGAGCGAAACAAAGATAGACAGAGAGAGAGAGAGAGACAGAGAGAGAAAACAAAAAAAAATAAAAAATAAAAAAAAAACTATCGTGAGGAACCAAGTTCTGCAGTTCAGCTACAGGAAAAGTCGGTCAGAAATGCACTGTCTAGCGATCCGAAATCATTTTCATGGTGGGCTATGGCGCATTCTAGATGCCAGAAACTCTGGGGCAAAGCCGCGGATTCATCAAACTCCCAAGTCCGACCATTGATTTGAACTCAAGACCTGAATACTCTTGGCCGCAAACCCTGAACACCCAAAGCCCCGAAGCACTTAATCCAGCACAGTAGCATGGAAAAGACCACTTGCACGCAGGGCCCACCGTGGCCTGGCACGAGGGACATGTTTCAAAGGAACAGTCAGTCCGGTGTATACAATGTATGTTTCGCGGGTTTGGGATGTAGGGATGAATGAAGGTCGGCGTTAGAGTGCAATTAGAGTGCTAGCTCAGAGGGTTTAGTCATAGAATGCTGGTTACACAGCATGCAAGTGAGACTAAGTAACTAAGTATCCCACTTCGGTACATAGTACAGATATCGATGCCTTCTTCAAAGGAAGGAGTGATTCAAGAAGCTCCCACTGGGTGGTTGTCAAAATTATGGTCCCTTTTTGGGTCCCTCATATAGTACGGCACCTATTATTTAAGGTACCCATGAAAGAAACCCTAATTTTGACAGCTACCCCACTGAACTCGTGTGGAAACATCGGCCCTGCAGCATTTGCTCCTCTTCAGACTCCTCGGCCAAAGCTCCGGGCACTGAAAGCATGCCCAGCATTTACCCCAAGGGTCCGAAGCACCCAATAATTAGGTACCCTGCTTTAGGATCGTAGTTATGTAGGTTAGGATTTCGGAGAGTATATGATTATTAGGTACTTGGACCCTTGAGGTTACCCTAAGGGTCCATGTGCCCAAATAGCGTATACTTTGGGCCCCGTGTACCCACTGTAAGGCCAAAGTAGATGGGTAGTTGTCAAAATTAAGGTCCCTTTTTGGGTACCCTAAATATTAGGTGCCGTACTATGATAAGGACCCCAAAAAGGACCATAATTTTGACAACCACCCATATACTACTTGGGTACATGGCCCCTCCGGGATATAGGGTGTAGTTATACGGGTTATTGAGCTGGTTTGGCAAGTCAGAGGCCTGGGTAGAGGCTAAGGGGATAGAGGATGAACCCTGAGACTCCATGTGCCCATGCAGTAGGTACTTAGGCCTCAAAGGTGTCCGTATATAGGTACTTTAAGGCCTGAGTACGACTAGATGCCTGAGGCTGATATGGGGTTTTGCAAGTAGCTTGGCTGTCGTCAAGTGATCCAGACACACACACACACAAGCAGAGACATGCACATCCATGGATTGGGCTTAATAACAACCTCGAGCGCCCATTTCAAACACCCAGCACTGAGCTTGCAACAGCAAAGTTCGGGAATTGGGATAGCCGGGTCTCAGATATCAGGACCTAGGCTGGGCTTACTTTCAAGGGCTGCATGAGGTTGGCAGGTACGCAGGGTTTGTGGCTCTACCAACAGTCAGCCCCCTAAACCCTAAACCCTAAACCCTGGAACCCTAAACCCTTACACCGTAAACCCTGAACCCTTAAACCCTAAACGGCCCTAAATGTACCAGCAAACTGCTCCTTCGTGCGACCACACTCCGGAGCAGAAAGGTCGAAGCTAACAAATCCCTACGCAGATCACACTATGAGGCTTGGCTATGAAAATCTCACAAATCCTATTCACCCAGGCGCCTGGAGTCCGCTGTATGCCTTGGAAAAACCTTTACCTGATCAGGGTTGAGAGGTTCCGGATGAATTAGTAGCTTTGAGTCCCAACCCCTACACTCCATAACAAACGTAAACAAGTGAAGCACTGCACGTCATGCTCGAGTCTTGTGGAGTTTCGCCAATCCGATGTTGCGTCTTTTGGCTTAGGGTTTCCTCGAAGTGGCCAAAACCCGGTCTGATAGCTCAGTACATAATTTAGAGTATAGGGGTTTAGGGCCTAGGGAATGATTTAGAAAATTTAGATAGGCTAAAGCATGAGTATGTGGGGTACGGCAGGGTTTATGAATGAGGTTCGGGATTGACGGTTTGGCTTGGGGTTCATTGCCGAAGTACGCCACCTCTCTTGCAGAGCGGCACCAGCTGCAGGGTGGCATGCTTTGTTGCGAAAGCAGGGTAATGTGGGAGGTTCTGCATAGTGAAGGGATCGGTGGCAATCATCGGGGCATCACTTCAGCGGTCGAGGTCATTGTGCAGGTTGTTGACAGCAGGGGTTTAGGGCTCACAGCTCAAATGTCAATGACAATGTTCACTCACTCCAAGGGGAAAAGGAGGGACCCTTAATGGGGACCCCTACCCTATAATGGGCTATATAATGGGTATATAATGGCTGTATTATGGGTATATACCTAGGGGTCCTTATTAAGGGTCCCTCCATTTCCCCTTTCACTCGGTTGCTACGGCCCTCGCACGGCACCGCCTGATTGGCTGAAGTGGAGCGGCTGCTTCGGTTGAGGATATAAATCCTGGGGTTCCTTTAAAGGGATCTATCAGGGGTACCTTTAAGGGGTTCCTTTAAAGGGATCTATAGGGTTTAGGGTTTAGGGATACAAAATCCCTGCAGTACCCATACTAAGGAATATACCATCATTCCCATAGCTTAGGGTCCTTAAGGTAATGCAGGTTTTTTATCATCAGCAGTTGCTGGTCCGGCGGCGTTTTGGAGGCAAACGCAATTCTTCGGACTGCGCGCTCGTCTCCGGATATCTTGATCTGGGGGTCTCCGATATTTAGGGTATTTTATTTGGGGGTCCTTATACTTAGGATCCTACTATTTGGGATACTATATTGGGGTCCCCTATTTTCGGAAACTCCCATGTGGTAACACGGATCTTCCAAAACCTCTTAATGATGGAATACACCTTACATGTCTTACTAGCGGCCCTACGATGATCTAAGGCACATAGCACCTCGAACAACACCTCTAACCCCCCCAAGCCTGAAACCTGAAGCCCTAGAACCCGGAACACGGCAAAATCTCCAACAGGAGCGTGATTACTCAATCCTAAACTTCTACAATCATTTAGAAACCCACATGGTGCCCTCAAAGGCTGTCTTAAGGAGGTTCCTGCAAAACCTCAATCAATCCTAAACTTCATGTCCCAAGCCCCCAAGCCCTAATTAAATCCGAAATCCCGAACCCTACAGACCCTTAACGCTACATGAAGCCTCAGAGAGAACACTTAAAGACGACTTTATCCTAAACCCTAAACTCAACAGTCTCTAACCCTGGGGCTCAACATAGCCCAAAAGCCTTATATAGTATAACAGCCTTACCCTAAGACTCCAAATAGCCCAAAGTAGGTAGCATTTATAGACTTTAGACCCCAAAGTAGGTACTATTTGTATACTTGGAGTCTTAGGGTTAAAATACGAGTCCTTAGAGCCTAAGGGGAAAGGAACCTCCAGAGCACCTCGGTGAGGTTCACGCTGCGGAGACCAGAGGCACCGGTGACGCGGCAAAGAAGCCCGGGGAAGGGCCTGAGCTTTGGGCTTCAAGATTTTGACTTCTTTCATGTTAGAGAGTTCCTGTAATTTAAAGGTACACATGCCTATAAAAGCCCTAAGGCCTGGCTAGGGTTTTCAACAATTCAGGGCTTGAGGGTCTTTTCAAGTATCTCGATTGATGTGAGGACTACGACTACGAGGTCTTCTAACTGCTGTTGACTGCAGCGTAAGGAGAACTGGTGCTCGTGGAAGTGACAGTGGCATTTGGGGCTGCTTCTGGACGTTATTCTTGCCTGAACCCGCCTCCTTGATCTTCTCGTTTAATACGATGGCGATGATGTCGAGAATGTGACGATGCTGGAACTGATGATGATGATGATGATGATGGTCTGACGATGATGATAGACGAGGAATGAGCCTTTCCCAATGACAATCGTTTGCTGTTGAGGTGGTTGCTGCTGCTAATGCCACGGCTGGTGGTGGTGGTGGTGGTGGTGGTGGTTGTGGGGGTAGTGGTGGTGATGTAGTGTGGTTGATTTGACAGCCCGTGCGCCAGCAATAAAGACTTATCACCAGTCAAAAGCAAATCGATTGGGCGAGGTTGATGGACCTGAAATCCTCGTTTTTGCTTGCGGAAGCGGGAAGACGTTCTACACACAAGAGGGCAAACACACTCTAGAACAACTTCACAACATACCACGCATGGGCATAGCAAACGATCATAACCCGAGTCCTTGCCTTTTTCAGCCTTCGGCAGGCTCAGATCCTCCGATAATCATCGCTGCTACCGAGTCTGAAAATTAGAGGTACTTTTTTTTTGGGGGGGGTCCTTATGATAATGATTCTGCTATTTAGGGTACTATATTAGGGTCCCCTATTTCCCATTCTGGGGCGATGAATCGAACATGAAAAGCCCGAGCTGCAATGGGAAAGAAGGAAGATCGACATCACGGCATCCCGCATCCGCAGATCCACTTTTCCGCAGCTCCTCGTGGCTTACAGCTTCGAAAGGGACACTGCTGAAAATCTGTCTCGGAATAAGGAGCCTGGAACTGAAGGTCTGCAATAATCGCCGCAAAGAACAATGCAAAAGCCGCGTCCAACACGACTTAGAACTCAAGTCCTTATCAGGGCAGGCTGCCTGAAGGCAGGCTTAGGTCAGGAACCTCAATCCTACCCTTCGTCCTTGGAGGTTTTTTTAGTTATAAGTAGGGTTAGAAGTAGGGTAAGTATACTTATAACCCGTATGAGGAGACTTATAACCCTACTTATCACTACCCATGAACCTCCAAGTATAGATCATCACCTAAATGCGAAGACTGCAGAAGCTTGCGCACCCCTTCCTTGCAGCTGCCCGCGCTGGGTGGGAGCCTGCTACAAGAAAGTTACTGAACCCTAAACCCTAAACCCTTCTATGAACCCTAAACCCTATTTTCAATATTGACCCTAAACTCCGCGAAGCTGAACCTCCAACCCGATACACTTCCTAAACCCTAATCCTTACACTGAATAAGCCCGATAAGTTATGAACCCCATAAACCCTAGAAAACCCTTAAAACCTATAAACCCTGTAAACAAGAACTTCAAGTCAACAGTAAGCCCTAAACCTCTCGACTCCGTATGGATACAGTGCCATACAGTTGAAATCAAAAGGCACATACGAAGGGACGGCAAACCCTCAACCTCTAAAGTTAAAGTGAATCCCTCAACCTCAACGTTTAAAGCGAAACCCATGAACCGTTAATTCTAAAACCCTAATTAAGCCCCGATACTTGCACAAGAGTACTTTCAAATGGGTTGACAAAGATCGTAGCTCGCACGGCACATGGCTCATATATATATATATATATGTATATATATATATATATAGTACACATATGTATGTATATATATACACATACATACACATGTAATGTGTGGGTACATAAATACATACAAACATACATACACACACACATACATGTGCATGTGTATATACATATATATATATATATATATATATATCCACACATACACATGTATGCATGCGCTTTGCATGTGCATATGCATGCATGTATGTATCCATGTGCAGTTTGACCAGGCCAACAAACAGGCAAGTAACGTAAATTAACAAAGACCTAAAGGTTCGACCCTTAGTTATCCAGGAGTGAGGGCACATCACACAACCCAAAACCAACCAAAGCCAAACCTTCAACTTCAAATAAGCTAGCGTGTTCGGTGAAGGCGAAGTTCAGAAAATGAAAACTTCGACCCGTGTGAAACACATCAACTAAGGCCCTCACCCCACCCCAATCCCTAAAGCCCTTTCTTTTGCCCTATACACTGCAGCCCTAAACCGTGATATCTCAGCTTCAATGAAGCGTATATTGCTCAAACCTGCACCCTATAGACTCCAACCCCACCTCCATATGTAAGACCAACAAGAACGTAGCCTCAACGACTTGATCATAAATAAAGGAGCCAGGACTCAGGGGGTAGAGTCAGCACGGGTTTAGGGTTTGTTGTATTGGGCTTTACAGGTTCAAGGTTTAGGGTCTTTTTGTGTTGGGCTTTACAGGTTTAGGCTTAGGGTGTAGGGTTTAGGGGTTTTAGGGGCCTTTAGGGTTTTTGGTTTAGGGGCTTCGGGTTTAGGATTCTGCCTCCGTTGCAGGAAGGTGACGACAGCAGCGCGGTCTCTGCCTGCACAGCCGACGTGGAGCTTGCCGCTGTATAAGCCCTAAGGCTCCATGTACCCATATAGTAGGTACTTAGGCCGTAAAGGGGTCCCCTATATGGGCACTTTAAGGCCTAAGTACCTACTATATGGGCACATGGAGCCTTTGGGAAGGTCGAGGGCCTCAAGATTTGGAATAGGGTTTTGGGTTTACTATACTATCATTCTTAAGGGTTCCTTTTCAAGGGGTCTACAAGGATTACTATAAGGGGTATTGAATAGGGTTTCGGGGTATATTAGGACAGAACTACAGACATAAGCAATCTGTTTCTTTCCTTGTTATCCTGACCAAAAATGCGATTTTTTGTCGTGTATGAGGATTGTGGGTAAGGGTTTATGGGTTAAGGACTTAGGGTACTTCCATGAGCAGGGGGTAGTTACAGACTGTATTGTATACATGTATATACATACAGATACACATGTACATACATATAAAGCGTACATCCCCATACGTGACTGTCTTAGTTTATGAAACTCCACCCTGCTCTCCGATCGGTGGGTGTACTAACCATGATCAGGAAAATTGAAACTCGAAACACCGAAGCCCCACCCGGGGAACCGACAACTCAGCTTCTTGTGGGTTGGTGTCCTAAACCCCGCAAGGCCAGAACCCCTCAACCCTACTAACTCCGAAACCCCTAAAAACCTATAAACCCCAAACCACTAAAAGGCTGCCAACTCCCAAACCCTGAACCCCTAAACCCTAAAGACCCTCCATCCCTAACCACACCTCCGAGGGCCCAATGCAACTCCCTAAACCCTTGTAAGCTCAATAGAGTACCCTGACTTAGCAAGGCCTACCATTCTCCAGGTTTATATGAGAAGCCCTCATACGAAGCTTACATGGATCCCACAAAACAGTAGGTTCTGGTAAGTTGAGGTATAACAAGTCCCATCATATTACCCAACCATACCATATCATATAGGGCTCGATGATCCCTTCAAGGAACCCTCCCAAGGCCCAAAGCAACTGCGGCCAGGCTGCGAAGAGCAAGATTCAACTCTGCCAGGTTGGCCGGTCGCGTTGGCTCCCTGGGGCCTGAGCATGGAGTTCCGCGTGGATTTCCGTTTTGGAGGTTCGTTTAGGCTTTAAGGCCTGGGCTTAAGGCTTAAGGGAGTTGGGGTTTGAGGTTTAGGATCTTATAATATGTATGTGTGTGTGTACATATACATATTCATATATATGGCAATATACGGTGGATAGAGGAAATCTTGCACTGCCCGGATGTTGACTCATGATACCGCCATTCACCAAAACCCCGGACCCTTGTTTTATAGTGATGATAGAAGGCCAGGTGGCTGGTGCAAGATTTCAGTCAACGGAACCCACCGCCCTTCGCAGGACTGGACATCAATGCTAAACAGGGGGTGTGGGGTACTCGCATGGTTGGTCTAAGCAAAGTGGTGCAAGATTTCCTCCATCAGCAGTACCCTTCAGCATCTTTAAACCGATATGTAGAAAAGATTGAGGCGGTGGAGGTATATATATATATAGATATATATAGCAATGGTTTAGGAATCGGGATGGTTTAGGGTCGAGGTTTGAATGAGTTCAGACTCACGCGTTCCTGCATGGTACCTTACCTATCGCCTTCCTTGGTTAGCGATTGCGTTTCGAAAGACTGTGAGGCTTCTTGCAGTACGAAAGGGTCTGGCATTCTGCGGTGATACTCCTGTATGCTTTCAGCGGCCTCTTAGTCTTACAGATTCCCACAACCTACTACAGGGAACTCCAGAAAGTTGGAATATGGTTTCATGGTAGCATACCCTATAATTTACCATAGAAGGGTTAGGATAATCACATTCCAACTTTCTGGCTTTTACCTTATTGTTGTAGAGTTGTGATATGGCCGCGGATACAAAATGTGCAGGAGCTCCCGTAGGCTCTCAAAGGTTGAGTGAAGCTCTTCCATGTGATGGGAGGCCAAAAGGGGGTTTAAGATTCTTGGGGTCGGGATTCCTTCATATGAACCCTTATGGGAACCCAAAACCCTACTAAACCCCCATAGGCTAAAAGTCCGTTTGGCCTCCTATGACCATGACATGCTGAATTCTGTGCTAGATCAGCCTCAAGCCTCAGAGATCTCAGGACCAAGAGCTGAGCCAAGCGGCCGAGGAAGCAGATTGCCAGGCACCAGAACACCCATACCTGCAGAGTCTCAAACTCCTGGCCTTAGCTAACCTCAAACACATAACAACAAACCTTTCACGCAGTAAGAGAACGCTCTTTGACTGAGAATTCTGTGTCAAGCCGTGACAAGAGTAGAAGTAGAAACAGCAGTAGTAGTTGCAGCAGCAGAAGTAGCAGCGGCAGCGGTAGCGGTAGCGGCAGCAGTAGCAGCTGTGGCCGTAGCTGTAGCTGCAGCTGTAGCAGAAGCAGCAGCAGGTAGCCAAAACAGGTACAGAGCCCGGAGCAGGACCGTAATGATAAGAATAATAGTAATAATAGTAGTAATACCAATAATACTACTAAAAATAAAAATAAATAAAAATAATACTAATAATAATAATATTAATAATAATAGTAATAATAATTGCAGCAGCAGAAGTTGGCTGCCACCACTGCTGCCACGACAACTCCTGTAACATGTATGGTTGCGATGACTTTCACGACGACTGTCACGAAGACTCAAATAAGGCATCCCTGAACTTGCCGACCAATGAAATAGATATCATATTCCTAAGCCATCAAATCCAAAACGCTTTGTTGCTCAGCATTTCGGTTGGACTTGTGGGGCCACGGGCACGCTGGCCGGGCGAAATGTGGTTTAGGAACAGCGTCCGATGACACTGATAGCGGCAAACTATCTCACGCTTGGGACCATTCGGAGCCCTTAGAGGCAGTACAACCATACTGGAGCCTGAACGTGTCCCTATGAGCCTAAGCACTGCACTTTCCCAAAGGGTCCAAAGTGCCTGTATAGTAGAATGTAAGGTTTCTATATTAGGAATTACTAGTATGATTTGGGGAAGTATCCCCCATAACAGTACCTAGGACCCTTTGGGTTTTTGATGGTCTTCTTCCACCCTAAACCCTAAACCCTGAACCCTAAACTGATACTTGGTCTTCTTCCAAGAACGGGGGGTGGGCTTCTGATACTTTCACTTCGTGCGCTCTTGCTGGACCTCTAGACAGGGCTCCTTTAAAGGGGTCTATAAGGGCTCCTTTAAAGGGATCAAGGGATCTATAAGGGGTTCCTTAAAGGGTAGGGTTTAGGGTTTAGAGCTACTATAAGGGCTACTATAAGGATTTAGTATAGGGGGCTATATGGGTTTTTGTCAAAGTTATGGTCCCCTTCTTGGGTCCCCTAAATATTAGGTGCCGTATTCTAATAAGGACCCAAAAAGGGACCCTAATATTGACAACCACTCATGTAGGATAATGGCCTATTCTAGGTGCTGGGCCATTGTTTTACATACTGTTGGGGTTTAGGCGGTAATGATAATAATCCTTGTAGTAGCCCTTATAGTAGCCCTAAACCCTAAACCCTGAACCCTACCCTTTAAGGAACCCCTTATAGATCCCTTTAAAGGCAGACATGACGAGGCACGGCCCCCGCGCAAGCGGAGCAGCAGAAGCCCTGGGATCGTATCGCGCCTGCTGCCTGGAAGGCATCGGCTTTGCACTGTGATGCTCACTGTACACAAAGTTATTAAAGATATACTGTAGTACCATTGTAGTATCATTACTATTGAAGTACTATAGTATCATGAATAGTGTTATAATATAATACTATAGTATGATTGAAGGATTTCGTGGAGTTTATGGATGTAGGGCTTCAGGCCCGAATCCCTACCTAAACCACCAGAAGTAGGTGAAACAGTGGTCCAGCACCTATAATGGCTGTTGCTCTACAGACTGTTGATTTCCAGGTATAGGATAGCGGATGCTGTTTAACTTTCTGGCGGAAGTACTTAGGGTGGAATTAGGCATATCCGTGCGGCTCGCATCATAAATGGGCGGTTGTCAAAATGATGGGCCCTTTTTGGGTCCCTAACATAGCACGGCACCTAATATTTAGGGTACCCAAAAAGGGACCCTAATTCTGACAACCACCCAAATCGCATCCTAAGCTTCGGAGCATTGAAATGCTCCACTCGTAGGGCTTGCCCAACACCGCGTGTTTTCCGTTCATCAGCAAAGGCTGAAAGAGTTGAGGGTGTTGGGGATTACTTGAAGATTCATGGGTAGGTATAAGTGGGGTTCTAAGTCCCCTAATATTCATTATAGCTATAAGTACCCTGCTTATAATCCCACTTATAATTACCCATGAACCTCCAAGTAGGAGTCAATTAAGTGAGGCTTTGCGGTCGAGGGAGGGCCTCGGCTTGCCGTACACTTCGATTGCATGCTTGGTGTATGCTGAAACCCAAGACCCTATGAAACTTAACGAACCTTGAGCCCCGAAACCTCCAAAGCCCCAAACCGAAGAACACTGTCAACCTTCATCACTATAAGCGGTTGCGGCCGATCCTGATCTGGGGACCGCAAGAAAAATCAAACACCCTGCACCCAAAGTCCAGCACCCGGGTGCCTCCCCGTTCCTTACGGCCCGGCTTATAGGCTTTAGGGATTCCCAACCCTTTTCTTTCCTAGCCCTGTAATCTGGGGGCCGTGCTCTATACGTAGTTGGGTGGCACTGATATGCAAGGCCCTATGCATCCTGTAACACGCATCCTAACCCCAAAGTCCAAACCTTACTTGACGGTTCACGTGTAGCTATAATTAGGGTTATAAATCCCCTAGCAGCCCGAACATGGGTTATAACTATAGCTACCCTACTTATTATAACCCCACGTATAACTACCCATGAACCGCCAAGTACACCTCGGAAACCCTTCACCATAGAACCAGAAACCCCGAAAACATGATCCCAAATCCTAGACACGAAGGCCCACACCCGGAATCCTCAAACGCAATCTTGAGCCCGATATCCCAAACCCGAAACCAAACGGTACAAGACCTCCTAGAATGAAGGTCTAAACCCTAAGCCTTAAGTACCGTCGGAACCTGTGCCGATCCCCTCAGCCAGGCCGAGCAAACACCTTGGTTTTGTCAGGGGCTCTGATCAAAGGATTCTTGTAGTAAGGAGGGGGGGGGGGGGGCAAAAACACACCCCCAACAACAAAGAGCTTAGTTGTGGTATTTAAGTCGGGCTGGGTCTAACACCCACTCCGCGCCTAATGTCTGCGTGCACTGCCCAGCCGTTCTAGCCACCACTACACCCCGGACACCCCCTTCCCACATATGACACCCGTCCAACATCCCCACATCAACACGGTAAGTAGAACACCTTGCCTGGTTTGCAAAGGCATCACAAGGCTCTGGGACTGGTTTTGTAAAGCTTTTGAGCGGCTGGGAAGAGCTAGTAGGGGCTTTCGAGGGTCTTTAAGAGCTATGAAGGGCTTTTGAGTGCTATTAAGAGCTTTTAAGAACAGGGCTCGGGTGCCTCAAAGAGCTTTTCAGAGCTTTGACGATCCTACCACAGGGGATTCTACGGGGTTGCTGGAGGCTTTTAGTTTGCTTTTCACACAGGACTTGGCTCAGGCCCACGTCTCTCGGAGGAGAGCGGGGATGGGTTGCGCCAATCTAACAGCTAGGTATTCAAAGGCAAACCTGACACAAATAAGTGCTAATTGCTTCTGCTTGCAAAAGAGCAGATGACAGCTATTTGCTTTTAGAAAGTGGTTGTTAAGGACTACTAAGTCTTAAAAGGTTGCTTTTGAATCTCAAGGTCTTTTGATGCAGTCTGTTGTTGAGGGTGTGTTTTTGCCCCCCCTGAAAGAATTCTTTGATCTGAGGGACTTCATACTTTAGGCAAGCATTTCGAAATTATTGTAAGGCTTGTTTTGGGGGCTATGTCATCCCAGCATAAATCCCTGCTGTTCCACTTGCAAACCCCCTTTTTCACTTCCGATCAGTCTTACCCCGACCCGACTCTGCATTGTAGCTCCTTCTTCACTATGTACAGAACGTGTTATGGGGCGCCTTAATGATTAGACTAGGCCTTCGTCTGATACATTCTGCCAAATTTACAATATCAGTAAGGAACACATATGGCTATGGAATAATGTGTGCAACTATTAAGCTTCTGTATCAAGCTCTTTATTCAAAACACCCCAAACTCAAGCCCCTTTCCATGCGTTCTTGCTCAAGGAGTAGTTTAAGCTACCATGCTGAGGTGGTACATAGGGATTTGAGAGTCGCAGGCGACAAGGGGAAATATCGTACAAAGATGTGAGCCCGGTGCAGGGTTTAGGGCTTTGTGCATCGATACAAAACTATCGTGCCTTTATTCCTTAGCTGCTGAGTTCATATGCCCCCCAAAAGTGTACACGTTCAGGTTGATAGTGGGTAGTATTATCTCAAAACGTGTAAAGTGTATCCACTCAGCTACTAAGATTTCGGGAACTCCACCTGACAAGTTCCCTAAAACGCTCCAAAGTCCACTGAGGGCCTTTATTATGGTACTCACAACGAGAAACTTTTCTATACAACTCTCTAAGACCCTTGTGAACTCCTGTGAAACGGTGTAGCTAACCCCACCATGACAACCCCTTAACCACAAACCATGTAGTATCCCCAGCTTGCCTGCGCCCAGGACGGCACAAAGAACCCACGGATGCTCCGGAAGGCGAACGCACAGCCGCACGAACTTGCTCCAGGGCTCCTTCAAGAACTTGCGATTTCGGGTTTAAGGTTTTGCATTTGAAGATCCTAAACCCAAAACCCCTAAACCTCAATTTTTGGTATTTCAATGGGAGAGTTTGGGATTTCGTAAATCTCATGCTACAAGACATTCGGTCTAAGAGATTTTAGGTTCTGATAGGCGTTGTTAAGGCTTAGACCTCAAGGGCTATATAAAATGATAACATCTAACATGACACGTTATAGCACGTTAAAGCGAAACACATGTACACATGCACATACATAGACATAGACATGTACATTTACACATACATACACATATACGCATACATATGCCTATGCATGGTGCGCTACACACATACATTTCTACACATGTACATACATACATATATATATATATATATATACATATACAAATGCGTACCACACATACATACATACGTACATACATACATTTCACACACACATACATATATATATATATATATGTATAGTTATATATATATATATATGTAGACAGAGAGAGATAAAGAGAGATAAATTCTTACACACAATCACATAGATAGGTACATACATACACACACACACATATGTATATATATATATATATGTATATATATATATATATATAAATAAATATACAGTCAGATAATTACATAGATACATACATACACAGACACATACATACATGTGTGTATATATATATGTAGGGAGAGAGAGAGAGAGAGAGAGAGAGAGAGAGAGAGAGAGAGAGAGAGAGAGAGAGAGAGAGAGAGAGAGAGAGAGAGAGAGAGAGAGAGAGAGAGAGAGAGAGAGAGAGAGAGAGAGAGAGAGAGAGGAGAGAGAGAGAGAGAGAGAGAGGGACAGAGAGAGAGACAAAGAGAGAGAGAGAGAGAGAGAGAGAGAGAGAGAGAGAGAGAGAGAGAGAGAGAGAGAGAGACAGAGAGAGAGAGAGAGAGAGAGAGAGAGAGAGAGCGAGCGAGAGCGAGAGCGAGAGCGAGAGTGAGAGCGAGAGCGAGAGAGCGAGAGTGAGAGCGAGAGCGAGAGCGAGAGCGAGCGAGCGTCGGGAATCGACTTTTGCAGGTTTTAGGCTTCATTGAGGCCTCACCTTAAACCGAAATCCAACGGGCTCGAAAGTAGAGCCTCCTTTCATGTCCCCAGTATGGTTTGCACCCGCTTATTAAACCTACCGCTGTCGGTAAAGTCTAAGACCATAAATGCTTAAAGTTAACTCACACCCAAAGAAAATAAAGGCCCAAGCCTTGGCCACCTTGCCTAAGGCTACCTACAGGATCGGGGGACTTACAGTAGTATGTCGGATATGAATGGGAGAACTTATCCGAATCCTGACCCTACTTTTAACCAAGCTACTCTTACTTCACCCCAAACTCGGAATCCTAAGTCCAACACTGTAAGCCCTGCCTCACCTCAGACTACTAGGTCCCCTGAGCCTGTAAGAAACCGTGCACTGCAGGTGCTTGCACCCAGCTTCAGAACTCACTCCCTGCTTACATTTGCCTTCAAAGCTACGAAACTTGCAGCCCCAATGGGGTTTACAGTAGGCGCCTTATAGAATGGAGCTTTGGGTTCATGTAGCCAAGGACCGCAAGACATAAGATTCAAGCCAGGCTTCTACGTTAAAGTTGCAGCCTAAGGAGGTTGCGGGCGAGAATTGAAGTTTGGGGTGTGAATCACCCTAGACCCTACACCCAAACCCTAAACCCGTGAAGCCCATGGCCTTGGGCATATATTGGGGGCGCTGGGACACTACCCATAGGCCCCATAGTAGTTCCATTTTGGGATTACCCATATAGGATTCTATACACGAACCCCCAAAAGAAAACCACTTTGGGGCCTTTGGGTATTGAAGAGAGTGCCCACAACAATCTAACAAGTCACTGCGCCCGGAAAGCCACAGCAAAGAGCGCCGAAAGAGGGGTACCGAATGCAGCAAGGTGCCCCCCTAAACCCCAAACCTCACACCCGAAGCCCCTCAGCCCGATTTCAATCCTAAACCTCGCACCTTAAACCCCTTATTAAACCCCGAAGCAGCATCGCAGGGTTTCGGAATTTCGCCTAAATAATTACCCATACTATTTTGGGAGCTCCTTATGGTAACATTATAGTATAATGGGCCCCGAAAGGGCGCCTGGATGGAGAGGTAGAGAGTGCACAGCGCCACCGCCGCAACATCTCCCATGATGCTCGGAGAGATGACGCGGTGTTGCCTTGGTACTTGGAGGTTCATGGGCAGTTAAAATAGTGCGGTTATAAGTTATAAGTAGGATTCATTTAACGATTCTTCAGGGTTAGGGGTCTAGGGCCGGGTAGTTTTGTATAAGTGAACGTTATGAGTCCCCGAATATGGGGCAGAAGTATAGTTACCCCCGTTATTACTACCCATGAACCTCCAATTAGGTAGTATTTGCTACTCACGCCCCACGGAGCCTTCCGTATTCGATTCTAGCGCCCACACCGCCAAGGTGACGTTTTTGTGGATGGACCCGGTCGCATGCGCTGTAGCCGTCTACCCCTTCGAAGATGCCGGCCCGACAAAATTGGAGGAAGTGGCGATTGTCGCGCAGGCGGAGGTACTACATCTCCCTAAACCCTGAAGCCTAAAAGGGTTTACTGCCCCGACATCCTTTCGCGAAGTCGAGCTTCAACCACTTCAACTGATGCCGTGATGATCCGGCATGTTCGGTTTAGGGTTTAGCAGTTTCAGATTTAAGGGTTGAGGGTTGAGTCGTTAGGTCTCGTCCTCAACCTGAAAGCTCTGAAAACGACCAGTGACCAGTCCAACACATCGTTCATGAGGCTTTATAGACAAGAGTCGTAAATCGGCTTAACCAGAGCCGACACTACGATACTTATGAAACTCCAATCCTTCGACGCCAAACGCCCTAAACCCTAAACCTGAACCTTTAATCATGTGGGTGTAGGCTTGACGGTTCAAGGCTTTAGCTCGCAACCCTGCCTCAACCACATTTAAGGACGCACATAAGGAAGTTAATAACGAAACACCCGACAAGCAATCCTAAACCACCTGTAGGTTTCGTATGGTTCATTCTAGCCCTGCCTGGACGCCCAACTAGCTGGGGCTTTAAAGATAAATTACAGAGATCGTGACAAGGAGCCCTGAAAAGGTAGGTCGTTTTTGGGTCCAGTTGAAGCTTAAAACCCTGAAAGTCTCTCGACTGACAGACTGAACCGTTTAGGGTCTACCCAAAGGCTCCATAGTAGTTCCTTTTTGGGATTACCCTATAAAATTCTATATACGAACCCCCAAAAGGAACTACTATGGGGCCCAGGGGTTTAGGACTCAGGATTGTAGGGTTCAGGGCTTTGCACCGTCGGCATCCCGTGGGCGACGCCAAGAACTACGGACACGCTGAATAACCGAAGACCAAATCTGTCTGGGTCGGGGGGCTTAGTAACTGGCTATTTTAGGAACTTATAAGTACCATAAGCCCAATTAAGGTCCCTTTTAGGGTACTTTTAAGTCTACTTACTACCTACTTACTAATCCCCGAACCCCTAAACCCTCAACCCTAGTACCCCTATAGAGCACTTTAAAAGAACCCTTATAATACTCTTTAAAGGAGCCCCTACTTACTAAGTCCCCTCAAGACCCTCCAAGTAGGGCTTGAAAGCTGAGGGCTTTGAGGTGTTGGGCCTTGCCAGTCGGGAGATGCCATGGAACAAGCAGGCAATACTTGGAGGTTCATGGGCTGGTTGTAAGGGTTCCTTTAAGGGTCCCTATTACGGGATCTATAAGGTATAGGGTTTAGGGCCTACTTGGAGGTTCATGAGTAATCACAAGTGGGGTTCTAAGTAGGGTAACTATACTTATAACCCAAATTTGGGGACTTAATAATCCTACTTATAACTACCCATGAACCTCCAAGGAGGGGGCGGGGGTCAAGTAAAGAGTTCCTTCAGGAATTCTGCAGTAAGCGTACAACAGGGGATTATCTTAGTTGCTGAGTTCATAACCCACCCCCAAAGGTGCACACTTTCAGTTTTATAGTGGGTAGCATTATCCCAAAAGTGTGAAGTGTCTCCACTCAGCTACTACTTGGAGGGTCTGGGGACTTAGTAGCTGGTTGTGTTAGGGACTTATAAGTACCATAACCCCAATTAGGGTCCCTTTTAGGGTACCCACTGCCTACTTACTAAGTCCCTCGACCCTCCAAGTACTAAGTCATTCATGTTCCGGAGCCTTCACCATTAACAAGTGGACTGGGCTTTGCAGTATGTTCCGGTACACCTGTCACCCCAAGGCTCCAAATAGCCCAACAGCCCTATGTAGTATGGTCTTCGGGCCTAAAAAACCTTAAAATCTGAGTCCTTAGGGCCTAAGGGAAAGTATAGCACCAGTGCTCCGGACTCCTCTTGAGATAAGAGGATGTCAGGGTTGACTGGGGGGATGATCTTGGGAACTTATATGGGGGTTTCCGAAAGTTTGGGTTACCTTATCTGGGGGTCCTTATAATAAGGATCCTACGATTTAGGGTACTACATTAGGGTCCCTTATTTTCGGAAACTCCCGTATAAAGGTATGGCTATAATCCTCAATGGACTGGAAACCGGAGTATGTCCCACGATCCTTCAAGTAGGGTTTAGGGTGACTCAGGCTTCTGTGCCATGTCTTTAGGCTAAGGATTTAGACAACTTAGATGGTGGAGTCTGCCTGTAACCCCATACCCTTCAACATAGTAGGTTCTGGCCCCTTTAAGGGCATAACTCCTAAAACATCATGAAGCAATAGGATCTGGATCCCCAGGGACTGGAGGGTGTGCCGGTGGCAGCTCTGGGGAAATCTTTGTCGCTGTGCGAGTGGCGCGATCTTCGCACAGGTGGTCTGCGGCCTCCAGCAAGTCAGAAGCTTCTGCTGTGGTTTCAGATATACATTTTGCATTACTTTAAGGACACTAAACTATGGGAACTGTGGTATATTCCTTATTGTGGGCGATGCAGGATTTATAATATTATCAACCGTATGATTTCTCCGAAGTATTGCGACTTGTCAGCAAACCCTGGACACTACAGTGAACACTGAGCCGCAAGGGTCCCTAGCCTTGTGTTGGCTCACATCGGGCCACAGCATTTTATAGTGTGCTCGGGGCATAGTATGGTGCACTTGCAGTATAGTATAGAGACTATAACAGAGTTTTTCAGACCTCTGCAGTGTACTTGTAAACCCACTTATAACTGCCCATGAACCTGCAAGTGTACCGGCAGCTACCGCAAACAAGTGCTTGGAACAGAACGAAGCCTATTTCAGGCACATGTCCGGCAAAGGTTCAGAATGTACTTTAACCTGCGAAAACCTAGTTTCTTTTGTGTAGGCTCTTACAATATAATTAATAGGCCCTAACATGGAACCAATAAGGACCCTACAAAATACACCTAGCTTTTTTGAGGGCTCTTGTAACAAGCCCCCATATGGAATTCATAAGGATCCTACAAAAACCCGGTTCTGGTGGGTTTAGGATGGGTTCGGGGGTTTAGTTTAAGTAAGGTTCAGGGTTGCCCAATGACACAAGTCCAAAGAGTATAGGGCCTGGATAGTTTAGGGTATATATGGGAGTTTCGAAAATCAGGGGTACCTTATTTTGGGTCCTTATAATAAGGATCCTGCTATTTAGGGTATTACATTAGGGTCCCCTATTTTCGGAAACCATATATTGTGATGCATCAACATGTGTGTCTCACGAAGCTTTTCCACTGCGCTCACATTGTCGCAGAAAACACTGGAAGGGTTCAAGTTCGGGCTGAAGAGTTGTGAGCGCTAGCTTGTCAGCCTTACAGAGTGACCACGGGATAGCATGCGAATTCCCGAGAAAGATAATATCGGGACTACTGAGCGCCAAGAGGCTGGAACAAGCTCTGAAGAACGCAGCAAAGCGGTGCGACGACGACCAGGACGACCTCTCGCCGACTATGAAACCCACAGCATCTTTTGCACATGAACGTGAACCCTAAATCCCACATCATCGCATGGCCCTACTCTGACCAAAAAGACTTTAAATCCTATTAGCCTAAATCCCAACAGCCTATTCCGAAAATTTACACGTAACACCTGGCACCGCCAACATCCAGCAGGAAGTTTATGATAGCCCTAAACCCCATAAAGGCGCTAAAGCCCCTACACTTAAACCCCGTATAACCATCAGCTTGAAACCCTAACACCCAAACCCTAAGCCCCATAAAGCCTATAAACCTGGCTGGGTTGTGAAATTTATCAGATTTCGGCTTTAATCGGGTTGGGCGGGCAAATTTAACAGATTTCGGCTTTAATCGGGCGGGGCAGTTCAATTTAGCAGCTTTCGGCTTGGAAACCCTCAAACGGGGACCCTGACCTTCTACCAGGACCCCGCAACAGAGCCCTTGTGGTCCTTAATTTAGGGTGTGCTAAACGGCCATTGGGGGGTCCTGGTATCCTCTTAACCCAGACCTTCCAAAATCCCGTAATTAAGGAATATACCTTAAGTCATATTAGGGATCCTACTATAATTTAAGGTATATTCCTGAATATAAGGGATTTTGGAAGGTCTGGGCTCTTAACCTCCAACCCCTAAACCCCAAGAACCTGGAAGTTCGGGGTTTATGGGGTTTAGGGCTTCTAGGATTCTAGGGTTTACCCAAAGGTCCCAAAGTAGTTCCTTTTGGGGGTTCGCATCTAGAATCCTTTAGGGTGATCCCAAAACGGAACCACTATGGGGTGTATGGGTAAGGCCTTAAACCCCAAACCTTAAACCGCCCTCCCCACCTCAACGGCTGCAAAACAAAGGCTCTGAGCTGCGAGGCTGGCGAAAAGCTCAAGAATCGTGGGCTCTTGCCTTTCGTGCCAGAAGTGCTGGGGTTTGAGGTTCGGGGTTTGGGGTTCAAGGTGATTCAGGTTAATTACAATTAGGGTTGAGGGGGTTGGGGTTTTAGAGTTTGCAAGTTGGGGTTGAAACACACTCCAGCTCGACTGCCTTTGTGTCAACGCAGCCTGCCGGAACAGTTTTAGCACCGCCAACCAGCAAATCACAAGACGACCATGGTAGGTGCTGCGAAACACCGGGGCAAGTTAGGCTTTAGGCTTCAGGCAGCACGAGGGAGTATGAGACGGAAGCACCAATGCTTGATCCACACCCCGAAGAAGGAGACAGCAAACATGATTCATGCGCCAAACTGCTGAGGATCCAAACCCCCTGCATGGAGTCCAAGTAGAGACAACGCCGGAAAGCCAGGCAGACAAATATCCAGTAAGTATGCACCCATCTATACTCTACACCAACACCCTTGCCAGCTGCCCTGGCTCGACACTTACTAAGATACTTCTATGTTGATGGAGCAAGAGCGTAAACCAATTCCATGTCTCGTGCACCATGCGGCAAGTCGGCGAACAAACGACGAAAGGGGCCTGCAAACACCCGCACTGAACAGCATCAGGCCGAATAGGAGAAACTTGGCACAGCTGCCCGTGCGCAGAAGTGTGCGAGGAGAGGGGATCAACAGACGGTGGAGCTGGTTCGAATCATGCGAATCCTCGTGCGGAGCCATGGGCCTAGACTCAACATGCGAAAAGAAACTCACCACCGATACGTGTCATCTCACCATCACGGGAACAGTATATAGCACTATTCTGACAACCGTCATGCGCATCAGGTCACTTCTTCGATTCGCTTCGAGCTATATATATATATATATTATAGTGACAAGAGCCACTCTCCAGGTGCCTGTAGACCACGAGGCCAGCAATGCGCACCTGCAGCGACAGCGGCGGTGCTGGCAATGCCATCGCCACTAGGCAGAGAAACCAGAGCGCAGTGACGACCCGGAACCTGGAACTTGGCGCTGGAGGCTGAGATTTATGGTTTTATGGTTTGGGGTTGAATCGAGATGTTGCCAACTCAGTATGCGCGCGTGTGTGCATGTATCCGTCCGTGTGTGTGTGTGTGTATGTATGTATGTATGTGTGTGTGTATGTGTATGTGTGTGTGTGTGTCTGTGTGTGTGCGCGTGTGTGTGTCTCTCTGTGTGTGTGTTTGTCTTTACAAGTATGTATGTATGCGTATATATATATATATATATATATATAAATATATATATATATGCTATCCCCCCCCTCAAGGATCTACCTTTTCGTGTGTTTGAGAGCCGGATGGGAAATAGTTGATATTCTATAACGTATTCCCTTCTCTTTATAAGTCCTTCACTAAATACGCTTCGACTCGATCAAAGATTTCGCAGATCCTAAATTCTGCATTTCCTTCATACACACACTGAGTTTTTCCAAGCGACATACATTCGCGTACGGCTTCTTCTCGTGTTGCAAAAGAACGCAAGGTTGCATGCATGTTCTGTGTGTGTATAGGTTTTTGCATGCAGCAGTATGGGCTGTGAAGGTAACACGCAACAGGAGAGCAAAGATATGTCATCCCGTATCACGACAAGTATAGATATGAAAAGAGGACCCTATTTCTACACGTCCCATATATAGGACGCATCGGGATTATGGATAATATCCGCGAACACGAAATCTATCGATATTTCCAGGGTTCAATACCTTGTGTTTCGCCTATATAGTGCCCTTTAAATTACATTTAAGAATACTTTGCAAAATTCCACTCACATAACCTTTATATCTTATAGAAATCCACCCGAACATCCTGTCGCATACCGTCTCCAAGACCACCTATATAGGATTCACCCCGCGCGCATTATATTACACATACCCTATAGGACACTATATACAAGACACTATATAGAATATCTTGCAGGATGTCCTTTGGAATACTTTCTCTATGTATCGTAAAGCCTTTCATATGGAATGCACTGATATAGAATACCCTCATGCCTTATTGAATACCCTAGAGCCTCGAGAATACCTTATCATATACTTTCAGTCACAGTCCGTATATCTTTTGAATATCTAGAATACCTTGCAAAATACGACATAGAATACCCTACAAAATACCTTATGGAACACATACTACCCTCTATATGTCGTGCGCCTCATGGAAGACCGTCTGGAATGCTCTAGAGAAGACCTTACAGGATGCCCATATGGCCCTATACATGACAGTCGTTGTATACAGTATATATACCATGAACCCATATAACATTTAGTGGCTCAAAACCAAACTTTCAACTTTTGGCCCCTAATAAGGTAATCTTGTTGCGAAAGTTTAAACTTCTTACACCCCCATAGGTATTTGGGAAGTAAGAGTACCTATAGATAACCTTTCAACGAGCCCAAGATCTGAGAACCCCTCATAAAGAAGCAGCCTATTGGGTAAGGGGTTTCTAGGAGTGATCCAGGAGTCGAAGAGAATAACCTAAAGAATACCACAAACCCCAAAGAATTTCGTACAGGTGACCCTAGGTAAGACGTTATAGAATATCCCCTATATACCTCATAGATATCTTCTTGAGTACCTTATAGCCGTATAGCCTATACATTACGTTATAGAACACGTTCTGTAAGATAATCTTTACGTTCATGTTGATGCCTTGTACAATCCCTTATACAATGCGTTATGGAGTACCCGATAGAAAGCCCGAAACAACGTTACATACTTGGCCTTTTATAGGCCTTGTACAATATCATCTGCATTTCCCTACCGACTAGCTTACAGAATACACAATATCTATGATACCCTCTGAGTACCCCATAGGAAGTCCTAAAGAAAACCTAACGGATATTCTATAACATACCCGTAGAATGCACCATAGAATGCCTTGTAGAGTACTTTATAGATAACGGATTAATGGCAGGATAATCAGGAGCAGAATGCTCTGCGCTGTACCTGCTATGTGCCCAATGAAGAAATCAAAAACAAGAGCATATAGAACACCTTACACGATACTCCTCCTTTACATCTTAAAAAATTCATATAGATACCCATAGATTATAGAAACCGTTTATACCTTTATGAATCCTGTTGAATACCCGTTGGTGATTTCACCAATATTCACAGACCAAATGCTTGCCATCATTTTGAAAAACCGCTCACCAACACGCAGCACTCGAGATCCTGGTAAACACGTTCGGCACATCAAATTCACATTCCTCAACCCTGAACCTGAAACCCCGCCCACTTGGGACGAAGCGTGATTGCAGTCAAGCGGCCCTGATTCAACTCAATCGGCCCCGATTGAACTCAATCGGGGGCCGGATTGAAGATTGAAGATTCCCCGGCAAAAGTTTTCGAGGGAATCTTCAATCTTCAATCTTCAATCCGGCGCCCGATTCAACTCAATCGGCCCCGATTGAACTCAATCGGGGGCCGGATTGAAGATTGAAGATTGAAGATTCCCCGGCAAAGTTTTCGAGGGAATCTTCAATCTTCAATCCGGCGCCCGATTCAACTCAATCGGCCCCGATTGAACTCAATCGGGGGGGGGCGACTGAGTTCAATCGGCCCGATTGAACTCAATCGGGCCAGGGTGGAGTTCATCCAGCCACAAAACGGTCCATCGGGTAGGCCCTCCCCTCAAGGATCTTCCATTTTCGTGTGATGTGGCTCACAAACACACGAAAAAGGTAGATCCATGGGGGGGGGATACCATATATATATATATATATATATATATATATACATACATACATACATATGTAAGTATGTACTGTATGTATGTATGCATGTATGTGTGCGTGTGTCTCTAAAAGTGTGCGTGTCCGCGTCTGTGCGTACGGGTGTCTCGCTCGCTATCTCTATCCGAGTCCGTCCCTGATTTCGTCTTTGCGCTCGTCTGCCGTCTCTCTTTCTCTCGCTCGGTTTCGTCCTTGTTGCTGTGTTGTACTCAAAAGCCCTATTCTGTCTTGTCCCATCCTGTTCCGCCACTGCCCTGTGCTGCTCGGTCCTCTCCCGTCTGCTACTCTGTCCCGCTCCCGCTATCTCTGTGTCTCTCTCTCGATGTCTATGCTCTGCATGTTATTGCTACTGCTGCTTGAACGTCGTCCACGACTTGCTACTCCACAACAACTAGACTACGACCAACACCACCACCTCGACGACGACTACTACTACCATTACCACTACCACATACCACGACCACGACGACGACGACTACGACTACTGCCACTGTCACCCCCACCCCCACCAGCCCCACCACCACCGCCACCGCCACCGCCACCACCACCCACCGCATCGGGAGGCCAAAAGTCTTGACCTACAGGACCTTTCTTGTCCTAAGACGTCTTGCGATGTCGCTAACCCGCTTTGGAACTGTACTACTTACTACTTTACTGTTCCGGACGAATAGTCGGCGGCTCCTGTTGGCTCCTGTTTGTTCGGATTCTACTGGGAAATGCGGGCCTGTGTTCGACCAAGCAACGAACAGGTCAAACTTTCGTCCTGCCACGGTACTACCACTGCAGCCATGGACGGACGCATTTCCAGGATGTCTAGGCTGTTCAGCAACCCACTGGGAAAAGTATATACTTTTTCAGGCTTCTTATTCTATAATAGGAGCCCAGAAACCTGAGAGTAAAAAAGTGTAGCACTGAACAGCCTGGATGTTGGAGGCTGCAAGATTTCAGGCTTCCCCAGGTCGAGACCCGCGTCTTCCCAAGGACAGAACTCTTGGATGTTCGTACATAGGGCTGCGGGTTTAGGGTTCTGGGCTAGAGGGATTTACGGCTCTCGAGGGTTTGGGCTTCAGGGACACCCTTAACCCTAAACTGTCCTGAACCCCTAAACCCCTGAACCCCTAAACCCTCAACCCCTAAACCCCTGAACCCTAAACCCAAATTCATTGAGGCTCGTTGCTGCACGCGTCCACTGCAGGAGGCCCTATCTTCCGCCTCAGCGGGATCTCCGAGCTTTCGAGTTCCGATTTGGGTGTTTCCGAATAGGGGTACCTTGCTTTGGGGTCCTTATAATAAGGATCCTACTATGTAGAATACTTTATTAGGGTCCCCTAATTTCGGAAACTCCCATTTAGGACTTCAGGGTTCAGGTCTCCGGTGACGGTGCCTTCCTTTTGGAGAACTACTGAGAACAGGAAACAGGCTTCTGACTCTGAGTTTACCCTGATGCTCATCAGCTCTTTGTATCGATCTCACTCCCGACTACGCACCCGAAGTCCAAAGTCCTAAACCCGAAACGCCCAACCCCAAAATGGGTGATCTCCTCAAACCCTAAACTGCCCTGAACCCCTAAACCCTAAATTCTCTGCGCAAACGCGTATACCAACTCCGAAGCCACGAGAGAGGAATCCACAGGCTTGAACCAAGCTGCACAACACTATGCAGAAGGCCCTTAAGGATTAGAATACGGCTCCTGCAAATTAGAAACCCGAATCGAGATTTTGAAGGATTTTAACTTGAAGAGGGCCTTATCGACTGAACTAGGAAACTAGGGCTTGCGGTATATTTGTGAAGGAAAACTGCATATGAAAAATTGTTTCTGGTTGCTGCCCCTAGGTTGTCTGTTGAAACCTTCCCTCGGCGTAGGAGTTAGGGGGGATTCTGCTTCGCGCGGTTGCTACTATGAATGTCACTTTTTCAACCTACTAAGACGGCTAGTTGCTGTCTAGTTGCGACTTAGTTGCTGAGTTCATAAGCCCCCAAACGTGTACACTTTCAGTTTTATAGTGGGTAATATTATCCCAAAACGTGTAAAGTGCATCCACCTTAAACCCTAAACCCTAAACGCTACTAAGGCAATAACCCATTGAGTGTCACCATCGGCGCAGGACCCAACAGCTCTCACTGCCGGCAGGAAAACCAGAACATATGGGAGTTTCCGAAAATAGGGGACCCTTATATAGTACCCTAAATAATAGGATCCTTATTATAAGGACCCCAAATAAGGTACCCCTAATTTTCGGAAACTCCCATATTATGAATGGGCTTTTGGGTAACCGGGGAGAAAAACGTATACACTTTGATGTCATAATGGTTCGTTTAAGAAAAAAGTATTAAAGTCTGGTACTCCGCCCCTAAATAGCAGGTCCCAAATTATAAGGACCCCAAAATAAGGTACCCCTACTTTTCGGAAACTCCCATATGAGCCAAGGTCACCTCGTCGGCAGTCTCGATGGACGCCCTGCCCGGCGTGCTCCGCACCTGCGGACGTCTGAATATATCCTTTTCCGCAAGGGTCCAAAGTACTTGTATAGTAGAATGTAGGGTTTCTATTTTAGGAATTACTAGTATGATTTGGGGAAGTATCCCCTATAATAATACCTAGGACCCTTTGGGTTTCTGTCGTGGGAGCGACTGCCCTGCAGAGAGAGAAGGGCTAAAGCAGCCAAGCCCGAAGCCCCAATTCTAAAGCCTAAACCCCGAAACCCCTAAAGCCCTAAACCCCGAAGCCTACACCTCTAAACCCCAGGACCTGTCTTTAAGAACCCATGACCTCTGGTGCACGGAGGCCGTTTGGGGCTTCAAACCCTGCAGGCATCATGTTCGGGTCTCATGCGCTCCACGAAGACTAGAATCAGAAAGGGACCATTCCTCAAAAGCCTCTTTTAAAACAACTGCCTTGTAGTCTTTAACCCTAGTTTCCTGACTAGTTCACGAACAAGGCGTGAAGCACATGAAACCGGCCGGAGCACGGAGAAGACTTCTCGCACGCTAGTCGCGGGAGCACTGTTGTTGAAGAAGATATTGGCCTCCTTGGCTGCCGCAGTATTCTAATTTTGTGCCAGTTTGAGAAGCCCAAGGTCGTAAACCGATTCGGGTAGAAGGGGTCGGTGGCTTGAGGTTTGGGCCTACTTGGGAGGGCTGAAGGGGCGAGGCAGGAGTTGGACTCTAAGCGTGCTGACTTCACTACCCGGGCTTGATGGATTGCGGGAGGTCCTGCTCCAAAAACTCCTACAAAGTCCTTGAAACGGGTTGGGTGCTCTAGAAAAGGTTAGTCTACCAAGCATTACCATCAGGCATACGAGCATTTCTCGCAGAAGCTTTCGTTTGCGGAAACAACTGATTTTTCATCCGGTGCTGATTTACCGTACGTCTCAAGCTGAACATCAGGCTCTTGCATAGGAGGCTGGGCCCCGCGATGCAATGGTGTCTGAAATCGTGCGCTTGGCAAAATGGCATGACGAAGCTTCTGCCGACCCAAGCGCAAAAGGACCGGCACCACATCTTCGCGCCAGCATATGAATAAGATGAAAGGCGATGGTAACCTTGCATATGTTTTCACTACTGAGCCTTCGGGAATGGCTACACCGGAGGGCTCACCAGGCGTCTTGCCTTGGCTTGGGGCTTTTGACGAAGGCGTGTCTTTTGTCTCCTTATGGCCTCATGGGCCAAAGCCAAATCCCAATGCGCAAAACCCACAACCCAAAACCTTTCAGGGTTTGTAGGGTTAAGGGTTTGAGTTCGGGGTCTAGGGTCTAGAGTTGGGTGCTTTTGGGGTCAAATTTTACAAACCCCCAAACTCCAAACCTTAAAGGCTGAACCCCGAACCCAGAAAAATTCAGAACTCAAACTCTAAACGCGAAAGCCCTTGCTAGCAAGAATTTGACATCCCAGTACAAAACAGAAAATCAGATCCCATTACAGCGGGCATCAACTGGGCCGGAGTCTCAAGTAGGTGGGGCTTGGCTTCGGTTTTGAGCTTTAGAGCGCAGGACTAACAATGCATGTCAGTTGCCTGAGGCTTTCGGATTTTAGGCCTTACGTAGGGGTTTAGGGTTGGTGCCTCCGCCCTTAAATCCCCAAACCCTACGCCCTAAGACCCTAAAACCCTAAAGCCTATAAAAACCCAAAACCGTAGCTAAGCATCCATCTCCATCTCTGCTTCCAGGAGCTGGGCCAGGACAACGGAACTGACGCAGTACACAAAAAACCTCGAGCTCGTTGCTTTCCCTAGAAGTCCACGCAACTGCTAACCTACTACTAAGGTTAAAACCCTAAACCCTACAACCCGAAACCCTAAACCCAGGGCTTCGGGCCTTCGTAGCGAGGTAGTAGGTACATGGACCTTCCGGGTTTAGGATTTAAGGTACCTAGTACCATGATCCATGGTCCCTACCCCAGTCCATACTCCGCAAAGGTGTCTAGGGTTTGGGGTTTAGGGTTGTTTAGGGGTTAGGGTGTAGGGTTTGGGTTAATTAGGGTTCAAGCTTTTAGGGTTTAGGGTTTTAGTGTCGGTGTTGGTACCTGGAAGAGTACGATTTTGGCACTTGGACCCGTACCCGATGGCTCTAAGCTCCTAGGATCCATGTAAGTAAGGCTATTGGGCCCCAAGGTCATGTTATATGAGGCGTTTGGGCTATCTATGAAGTCTTTTCAATGCCATTGGCACAAGCTCCGTTCACACTGCTTTACCTGAAGGTTCCTGCGGGGTTCCTTTTCTTGCGTGCGGGTCCGAACCCAAAAAAAATTAGTCATAACAAAAAAAATTGGTCAGACCAAAAAAAATAATATTAGCAAGTATGGCGTGTTGCTGCTATTTATGTTCTGCAACGAGATCACGTGTGGTTACAGTGTGTGCAGCGTGAGTGATCGTAAATCTTGACTGCTTCGGCGTTTACATAGATGGTTTGCGGCTTCAAATGGGTTCCAACAGCCTGCTGCTCCGACTCAGAATCTTTGTCACCCGCAGATACCCGCAGCACATACACCAGCCCGTACACGTGCCTGGAGGACCACATTATATAAACCCTGCACTGGAAAAGACTCTGAAAGTCCCTAAACCTATAATATAAACCTTACCTGTTGTCTATACCCTTACCTATAGTCTCCATTGTAGTTCCTTGTTGGGGTTATATACCTTATAGGATCCTAATTACATATTTGGTTAAACTAATCAGGGAACCACAATGGAGACTATAGGTATTTATGAACAAACACTCCATTAAAGAAGCCTTCAAAGCGGATCGGAGTTTTGCACCTGGCCATGACCGTGCTCGGCTCGCACATCAGATGAAGGCCGGAAGCGACACATGAGGCATTTAGCTACAAAGGTGTCCCCTGCGTAGTCCGTATGACTTTCATCCATTCCCTTCGAGCTTTCACAAGGTACTTTTCAGTACCCCTTTTCGCCACTTGGGATGGATGCACACTCAAAGACATCCTGCATACGTTACCAACATAGTCCTCTGCCATAGGGGTCGCCCAAACAGAAGGATTGAGAATGTCGGTTCCCTTGTCGAGTGCATTGTATATAAGGAGGGCGACATGTGCCAAGTAGTGCAGTTTAGGCACCAGGTTGAAGTAAGAGAGACTCCTGGGATTGTGACTTCGCTATTACTGGGAGTTTGGGTTCTTAAGGCCGCAGGATATATATATATATATACACTATGTCCGTATATGGGTCTTATAGGGTCTCTCTCCCTCTCTCTCTAATATATGTATACATACATACCGGGTTCGGGGTTTTGGTTTGCATGGCTTAAACTCCAAGTATATATAAACCCTAACCCTCCGTACATCTCATGGAAACATTGCTTCCTTATCCTCTGAGGGTATTGGGGCTTGTACACATACCTATATATATATAAACATATACCCTACAGCCCTTCATTCATAAACACTATATATATATATATATATATATATATATATATATATATATATATATCATCTCTACCTCAGCCTTATCAACTCATTGTATATAGTTCCTTTATGTATATAGATCATATACTTAGGATCCTATAGAAGGTGTATATATATATATATATGCCATACCCTATCCCAACCATCCCCCAATTCTAAAAAACAGCTCCCTATAATATTATATAGGTTATATGCTTGCTTGCTCGTGCACCGATGTCTGGGGGAATATATATATATAATATAGTATCTCAAACCTGCTATGTATGTTATCGACAGGCCCAAGTATACAGTTCCAGTAGGGATTGACAAATGCGGGAATGCTTTCCAAGTAGTCCTGCAAACAGCAGCATCAATGTCGTGTCGCTGGCAGGCAGGTTAACATATATGCCTTGGCTTTGGTGTGTGTAGTTTGTCCTTTGTTTTCCTTCAAGTCTCTTGGCGGCTTCATCTTTACAAAAAAGCTTTCAAAACGTGTGGGGGCATAGCAAGGTTTGAGATGTCCCGGGGGACCGATCAAGGTGGGGATGGTGTACCAGCCTGAAGGAATCCAATAATAGGGCACCGGTATGCCAAAAACTGGCTCCACTCTCCAAGGGTTCGACCGGCCAATGGTTGCAATCCAAGCAGCATCAGCCGAACAGTCTTCGTACGGAATGTTCGTGATGTTAGCTTCGCAGTGAGGGCACACGGCAGCTGAAACGTGGTTGCGTACAAGATGCATGGCCTTCCTTACACGATCAATTGGGGTGTACCAACATGAAGGAAGCGGGAGTAACGAGGTGTAGATATACTTTTGCATATGTTTAAATAGGTTTAGGTTTTGGGGTTTAGGGTTTTAGACTCCGTACTTGCGTATGTAGGTTAATGAAGCTGTAATCTTAGACTTCCTGAACAGGAAGAGCTCTTTGCATCGGGGCACATCATTGCAGCTGCAGGACTGGCCATGTGTATACATGTGTATATAGAACTATATATACTATACATATACATATATATATATATACACATTACTATACCGACCAACCCGTGCAGTAGTATGTGCATATATATATATAAGCATGTGTGGATGTGCACGTACATGAATGTTGAAATGCATATCCTATATGTATATATCTATCTGTATATATATATATATATATATATATATATATATAGCTTACATAGGTACGAACACACACACACACACACACACACACTTATATTTGTATATACATGTATACATGTACATATATATATACACGTACAAACACATGCATCTACAGAAATGTACAAGAAGCTGACACACAGGTGTGCATAAGCAGATACATACATATACATATATACATACATACAATACAGTTAGAGGTTCCCCAGTAAAGAAATTATAGATATATGGAATGATAGATATATATAATTAGTCACACACACACAAGTATATAAATACATATATATATATACATACACATATACATATACATATATATATATATATATATATATATATATTCATGTATATATATATATATATACAACTACACTTACATAGATGTGTATAAATGTCTATATATATATATATATGCATATGTATGTATATATATACATGTATATACAGCACATATATACAGCACATAAATACATGTACTGGCACGACCAGGGCTCGCATGAAACACATGATCACCTGTCAGGCCGATGGTGACCAAGTAGGTGCGTTCTTGGCCGCACTTGACCCCAACTTCATAAGCGGCCAAACAGGAGTGGCAACCTGCAGCCATGATGGCATCCAATGCTGGGTTTCCCTTGGCGTTGCCCTTAGCAAGCTTAGCGTAGAACTTGTACGACAGCTGCGAAATCATGAAATACCTGTGCAGACCAGAAGCACCAGCACTCAAAACGGGGGACCACGAAAACTGGAAAAGGCCCTTCTTGCCGTAGCTCGTGCCTTCATCCCCATGAAGAAAGATAGGGCAACAGTTCCCCAAGCAGTGGCTGTAGCGTCTATACACATCATGATGCGGCTCAATGGTCGCGAACCGTTGCCAAAAGTTTGCAAATTCGGCCTTCCATCTGCACGATTCCCTCTTGGCACACCCAGCCAATAGCTTGTAAGCGTAGTGTTCGGAGTTGGCGAGATGCTCAGCGAAGTCAACTACACTGAGCATAGCATGTTTGCACAGCCCTTTCTTGACATACGGTACCTTGGAGGGACTTCCCAAACACATATCACCTAGATATAGGTTTGCACTATGAATCTGCACACATGTATACTATATATATATGTATATATATACATAAAACCCTGAGCCCTATACACACGTGTGTTCATGTCTATTCAAGGTTTAGGGTTTACAAGGGTTTATAGGAAGCCCTATTCAACCCGGATCCCCTGCACCAGGACGAAGTTGCGTCGACGTACGAAATGGGCACATCCAGCATGAGCCCCAGGCGGTGAAGCCGTTTGGCCATGTTTCTGGCCACGTTTTTTCTCCCCGACCCTAACTGCTGTAGCCGAAGCTTCTCGCTATAGTCCGGGGTCCATTGTGCATTCTTGGCGGCACCCGCCGCTTGTGTGGCTGCCGCTTTGGCAGATGTTGCCTTAGATAGCGGGATGCTACAAGTCTGACCTCATACACACACACACTCTCTCTCTCTCTCTCTCTCTCTCTCTCTCTCTCTCTCTCTCTCTAATTCTCTGTATACACCCTACGTGTCCTAACCCTAAAACCCTAAACCCCTTAGATTTAAACCTTACAACCCGGATCAACTCAGTAGGTTTCTATTCTAAGCCTATAGCAGCATAGCAGAGTTAAATGGTATTGCACTTTGTATTGCAGAGGCGAAAGTAGAATGCTTCAACCACACAACAGTATGCCAGCATCAGCTTCATTAGGAGCGGCTGAGCTGCAGCATCCCTATAGTCTCCATTGTAGTTCCTTTTGGGGGGTACCTTATAGGATACTAATCAGGTATTTTGCTAAAAGAAGAAGTACAATGGAGACTATAGGAGATCGATCCATATAATTCCTGGTTTCGCACCTGTATATACAGATCCCGAGCTCGCTGCATCGCCTGTACATAGGGTTTAGGGTTTAGGGGTAATTCTATAATTGCTTCGGCTTTTCAGCTGTTATAGCTGACTCTGGGATGCAGCGATACAACATAGGTCGCGGGCTGCAGCTCCAGGTGTTCTTCCCCCAACCAGTTGGTGTCGGGTTAAGGTCTTGGGGTATCAAGGATAAATATAGAGTTAGGACTAGGATCTTGGATATGGGATCTCTTGGGCTTAACAGGATTTCGGGATGCAAAGGGTTCCACAGGATCTCGTTTTTTTCTCCGCACCACCCTAAACCCTCAACCTACCCTAAACCCAAAATCCTAAACCCTGAATCCCTAAATTACGGTTGTCGTGACCGACAAAAGACTCCTGAGGGCGTCGAGGGAAGGTCGGAATTTCATTAGAGCTGCGAGTTGCTGGGTTGGTTTCTCAAAGGGGAAAAGGAGGGACCCTTAATGGGGACCCCTACCCTATAATGGGACTATATAATGGGTATATAATATAGCTGTATTAAGGGTATATACCTGGGGGTCCTCATTAAGGGTCCCTCCTTTTCTCCTTTGAGTTTCAGTACAATCGATATAGTGGTCTTATATAGGGTTTCGGGTCCTATTGCAACACAGGTACTACGAAAGTATCAAGTACAGGGCCCAAAGAGTCGCCGTCTGGGTCTTCTGCCGCCACCACCAGGTGTCTTCCTGCGTGGGGCAAGGTTTGTTTTTTATTTCTCGTGTAGGGGTTTATACCTACAGTCTCCATGGTGGTTCCTTTTCTAGGTTTCACCATATATATATATATATAGGATCCTTTAAAATAATCCCAAAAAGGAACTACAATGGAGACTGTAGATATAGTGTAGGGAGGGTTTACAGGGACATCCGCTATATACACTCAAGAGCAACCTGGAGCCAAACCTCTTTTTTTTCGACAGGCACACGTGTACGGTGTGCGGTCTTGAAGAAAGCCACCTCCTCATCGCATGGGCACAAGGACACGTGTGCGATATGCTTCTCGATCCCATTATAATGCGTGGAAACATATGCACACACACACACATCGTGTACACAGACTTGTGTCCAGCAGGCCCACACTGAAATCTCCGTGCGTGGAGAGTCTGGTCAGGATGCACTGAAGAATCCCTGGGGTATGAATATACATATATATATATGTATATATAAACCCTAAATATTTATATATATATATATATACAGACCCTATATGCCTCTTTTTTCATGCACAAGCGTATGCACCCAACCAACTGAAGCAAAATGTGCAGTGTCGACATAACACTGACTTCGGATGCGTATGGGCACCTCTGTCCATCTCTGCTGGGCCACCGGCGATATGCGGGAGAGTTACAGGAGGGGCACAGGTGTATAGACTTCTCGAAGAACACATAAACCTGCTGCATTTAGCCTATATGTAGGGAAACCTTAGGGCCGGAGGGTGTTCTAGAGGATAAGGGGATTGTCTTGAGTAGGTACACAGGGTTTACGAAGGAAGTATATAGTTATCCAATTCTAGAAACAGGAACACTTCCTGGCGCTTCTGACCCAACAGAGCTAAAGACAGCAAGCATTGCCCAGGTTTGTCTCTGCATGCTGCAGCCGACAGATCTGTGTCGAGGACAGTGGGGTCGGGGACCTCTCAGAATGCCTAGGGCCAGTATATTCGGGTTTAGGGTTTATAGGCTTTAGGGTGTATATATATAGCTCCTACAAGGACTCATCCAACTTTGTGTTTCCCACAGTAGCCTGTACATAGGGTCGCGGGGGATCTAAGATACATGCATATACATATATATATATATATATATATATATATATGGTTTCAGGGTTTAGGGTTTATAAGGGGCTTAACATTCAAGGTTTAGGGCTATGGCTTTCACTGGAGCCCTCCACTGCTCCAACGATCTTCTAACAGCCGCACAGCATTGCAAGCAAAACTTGAGGCACAGCAGACTCACTCAACAGACGGAGTAGGGGGTGGCGAAGGCGTCGCTTTTGCTGCCGTTTTTGCCTTTGCCTTCGGGGTCGTCTTCGCGAAATGCATCCTGAGTAATGGATATTCTTGAACAAGGCATTTCTATGTATTTATAGAGGTGTTGCCTGAAATGCACACTTCGTGTACACATGTCTCAGAGATGTCACACTCTGACATATGCCACATGCACATATACATCGAAAGCCAGGGTACTTCACCAGGGAATACTTGTTGCCGAAGTCCAGGCAACTGCAGCGATTGAGAAGCAGGGAGGCTCACAGGAAGAGTTTCACGAGAGTCAGCTAAACCACAAGGATCTCACGGGTTTAGGGTTGAGGGTCTATATACAGGTCTTTTATGCACATGCGTATCCAGTGTGCATATATTCACATACCTATATATACTTATCAAAAGCTTACATAGGGCCTGGGTTCGGGAACGAAGGTGTTGAACCATTGTAAGCTTCATTGATTCAAGCAAGTATCTGGAGGCGGATGCTGTTGATGATGGCACCATATGATTCCTTCCTCAGTACATCAGAAACAGCGGCGATACTCCCAAACAAAAAAGCAAGGCTGAAGCCACGGAAAATTCCCTCGCTCTCGTGTGCGTGCAGGACCGAGATTTGACGTCGCATCGGGGCCCCAGCTGACTCCCGCTCGGGGTGACCTCCAGCCCAGTAAGCTGCTGGTAGAGACCAGCGATGTTGCCTCGGCTTTGGAGGGTTTAAGATATGCAAATATAGACTATCGGGTTAGGGTTTTAGGATCGGGGAGTTTCGAGTCTAGGGTTTCTATATAGAACACCTATAGTCTCCATTGTAGTTTCTTTTTGGGGTTACCTTATAGGATCCTATGATTATATAGTTTGTTAAACAAAAAAAAGGAACCACAATGGAGACTATAGGATACCTATACAGGCTCCATAGTGATTTCTTTTTTGATGCTCGTATAGGAATTCAACAGGATAGTCCCCAAAAAGGAATTACTATGGAGCCTGTATGTATATAGGGATTGAAGTCGAGGATTCGTTCATCAGTTTCTTTTGCCAGCTGGCAACTCCCAAGTTCGAGATCTACTACTCTTTGAGTAGTACGGCGAATGTATAATACCCATGCACACACACTACTGGACCTCAATTCCAAATCCCAAAGCCCATCCTTATAACAGAGCCATGCAGGTCGGAGAACCGGTGGTCCTGTACTTTTAACAAGCTAAAGGTCCTAGCTTCGCAGAAGCCTATACAGCAGTTCGGTCGGTAAATCGCTACCGGAAGTAGAGCATTATGATCTGCGAGGTACGGGCGACTCGAGCTTTTGGGGGGCTCATAGGTTGCTAGAGTTCTGCAATAAAGCAAGAGGCCGAGACCTTTAGATTCTGAAGGTTTCAAACACTCTGAACCACCAGTGATAAGTCCTTGTAAACTGACAACCTAGAAGCCCTAAACCCACAAAACCCAATGGACTCCAGACACAGCTCCGAATTAGAAGGCCCGTCCATTGTCTCTCTGCAAGACCAAGGGTTGAGGCTCTTGTAGAAATTTCCGGGTTGCTCACTGAGCTGCGTCGATGCGAAGAGTGCTGGGAACACACACACACACAGACACACATGTATACATAGACATATGTCTTGTATGTGTACACATAAGCATGCCTACATCCGTATACTTCTATTCAGATGGACATACATAGAAGTATACATATATATATAATATACCATAGACATATACCAGCATACACAGGCCTGTACACATACCTACATATACATATGCGTACATCTATACATATAAATATATATACATCTATACCAATACCTATATATCTATACATGTAATATACATATAAACATGCATACATACCTGCAGGCAGACGTGACACACACATACAAACATGTAAAAAGATGCACATGCATACACAGAAACACACCCCCACTTGTATTCATTAACACACACATACATATATATATATATAGAGATATATATGCATACACACACATACATGTACATATATATATATATATATATATTCACATCTCTGCAACTATAACTATAAATACTACACTTGCATATGCAGCAAAGGCGGTTATGTGCACATACATGTATATTTTTTAAAGTAGTGTATGTGTGTATATGTATGTACATGTACATACATCTGTGTGTGTGCGTCGATGTTTTAGTGTTTTGGACAGCAACATGCTCAAGCTAGGCAAACAGGCCCGGTAAACTCAAGACAGACAGAGATGTATACAGACACATACACACACACACACACACACATCTGGTCAGGTCCAGAGACCTGTTTTGGTGATACTTCCAGTCTGCCAAGTCTCTGTGCACCTTCTCGAGCTCGCCCAAGTCGGTCCTAGCGTTTTAGGTTCTGTTTGAGATTCGATACGACCTATACATATAGTGTGTCTACTTATTATTCCAAGTTCTATCCTCTGGCTTATAATACAGATAGAGTCGGCTGTTTCTTCCTCTCTCAGACACAAATGTAGTCACACTACCTCGCCCTGTCCCTGTGGCTTTCTTTTTATGTGTTTGGATGCATATATAGATATTTGCAAAGTGAAGCAAACTTTTACTCACTAATCCAGGAAACTCGTGGCCCGTGGTGCCATCTTTCTGGAACCTCTCCTTGGCAGCCTTCATGGCTGCTTTCTTGTTCAAACAGGCTTTTTTATATTGGCCTAGGAATTCCTGGAGAGATTCCGGGCCATCCACAGCCGGAAACTCTGGGATCCGGGTCTTGGTCTCCTTCGTCTCCGTCGAATTTTTGCCTTCCGACTCGTCGTCCAGATTGATCAAGTCACCCAGCGAAAAGTCGGTTTCCCAGACCCCGGCCTCCGTCATTTCCTGTTCGAGCGACCTCGACCGGCTCGAGCCGCTTTCCACTTTGTCGGAGACAAGCACTAAGTATTTTAACTCCTGAGAGTATAAACATTTTTTAGTGAGACGTCTCTGTGTACAGTGCTGTATGGCCCCCTTCACCTTGCTTTCGTGCCACTTGAGCTCGGACACCATCTCGGCCTCTGTATGCCAACTATAGCCTTGCAAGCACGACCGCCACTCGCTCGCAATCTGCCGAAGCCGGATGATCGCATCCAACCGGTTCTGCAGCGGAGGCAGTTCTCTATCTATCTATCTATCTATACATATATAAGCGTATATATATATATATATATACATATAGATATAGGTCAGATTTCTTTTACAATGGTAATACATACCTGATCACGAATGTGCATACTATCTGTTCTTTATGTGCATATACTTCTGTAAACAATATACATGTATGTATATTTACACAGACGTGTGTACATGAATATATAGATACTTTTGCATGCATATATATATATGTATAAGGCCAGGGATAAATGACATATAGAAGAACATGTCCTAGTGCCACCGTCACGGACTAAATACAAGGTTATATCAGTTTATGGTTACACCTATCTATCTATATATATATATATATAAAAAGATTACAAAGATAGATACCGACATATGTCGACAATACCGAATATGTGTACACGTACACACACACACACATATATATATATATATATATATATATATATATATAGTTATGAGGATGCATGCCTGTGTGTGCATGGGCATATACAAGAAACAGTAGGGAAACCGATCGGCGTCGACGGCCAAAGGGTGGCGGAGCGAGTCGTGCATCTAGGGATGTGCATACATGCTGGATTACACACACACACACACATATATATATATAAATTATATACATGCACATATATATATATATATATGTGCATGCTCATGCGTGTATATATACATATCTTCATACTATATATATATATATATATATATATATAAATATACTAAAAGGAAAACCCCATAGTTGATCATAGTGACGTTCGGGCCAGGCTCTAAGGGCGGCTACAGTTACACAGGTGTATGTATATACATACATATATGTATATGTATGAACAATGCACATATATATATATACAGATGCATAGACATATCATATACATATATGTGTATATATACTGACATATAGACATTCCGTGCATCTGCATGGGCTGTATATATATATATATACTGACCCAAACCCAAACAAACACGTGTGCGTGTGTCTACAAGTACAATCTCGTGTGCCAACAAAGCTGACAGCTCCAACCATTTCCCGATGCACCGAATACCCAGCCTTGTTGTCGGAGTGGCTCTCCGTCGGCTTCCAGCATCGGTGCACAAAGTCGTGGAGGAGCTTGTCCCGCTTGCTGGTGTCATGCCACTGGTTCCACATCTCCTGTGCGTGTGTGTGTGTGTGTGTGTGGCATGTGTGCTTGTGTATATGTGTGTGTGTGTGTGTGCGTGGTGTGTGTGTGTGTGTGTCTATATATATATATATATATATATATATATATATATATAGATAGCGAGTGAAAGGGCAGAGGGAGGGAGGGAGGGAGGAAAGTCGGGTTGAAGGAAAACATACGTACAAACAAACATTTTAAGTTCATATATGTGGAGCGACTGAAAGGGACTCGGCGAGATTGAGAGCGAGAGAGTGCGAGAGAGAGTATGTGTATGCGATGTGCGTGTGTACATAAAGACATATATATATATATACATACACACAAACAAATAATATATGTATATATATATATATATATATATATATATTATGTTCAAAAGCATGTGCACATGTACACAGACACGTGCCAGAAAGCACAATCAATCGGCATGGTCCTCACTGCACTTCCTGTTCCCGAACTTGTCCAAAGTTCCAGCCAAGCGGTACAGGAACTGCCATGCAGCGGGATGGGTCGAGGATGTCACTTTCTCGAAGTGGTGCGGCTTGGTCGGTGTCGTGGAAGGGCTCTGGTTCGGCGAGGGAAGCTGGCTCGGGGACGGGCCGGGTGTGGTCGGACCTGGCGTGGTTGCCGGGCTTGGCTGGCTTGCAGGGACTGTCATACCAGCGTGGGCTGGCGTGGCTGGGCTGCGGCAAAGGCATTGGGAGGAGTAGGCACAGCAGGCGGATGGCTTGGCATGCTGGCTGCCGGAGGGACTGCAGCCCCCGGAGGGGTAGGTACAGCAGGCAGAAAGCTTGGCATGTTGGCTCCTGGAGCGGCAGGGGTAGGCACAACAGCTGGATGGCTTTGCACTGCAGCCCCGGGAGGGGCAGGAACAGCAGGCGGAAAGCTTGGCATGGTGGCTCCTGGATTAGCGGGAGGGGTAGGTACAGCAGGCGGATGGTTTGGCATGCCGGCTGGTGGCGGAACGGCAGCAGGGGCTTGCAGGGTTGCAGCGAACACGGGAGGTGCTGCGAGACTGGGCCGTGTCAAGGCGGGTGGAAGGGGTGTCTGAGGCTCCTGTTTCATCCTGTTCGCGACACCCATCTGCAGCATCTTGTCCTCGCAGGATATGTATATATATAGAATTCATCCGGTCCTGGCAGGATGCACAGATATTTGGTAGTACTGATATATGGGGAAAAATGATTGATGAAAGCTTTCTTGTAGCTACATGCCTGCCATGTGCGGCTATTATAATCTATATACGGATAGAGATATAGAGCTAGACAGCTATAGATATGGGTAGATAGACAGTTGGTTAAGGCCGGCGTATGCATGTATATGTATATGTGCGTATATGTATATGTATATATATATATATATATAGCTACATATAAACACATAGGTGGGTAACTATATGTCTACAATATAATGCATATATATATATATATATATATATATATATATATATCTATATCTATATCTATATCTATGCGAGGGTATGTATAAATCATATGTGTTATTTATATATATATATATGGACATATAGGTATAAGCATGCAAAACTCACCTCTCCCCTTAGTCTTCTAGAAGAAGTCCTGCAGCTGTGCCTTTGTGGCATCTTTCTTCGCGGTCTGCAGCAAATTCTGCTGCCGCTGGACTTCCTGCGAAGCCGCTTGCTGCTCCTGCTGCATTTTCACCATTTCCACCTTGTGCCGCTTGCAACTCTCGTTGTACTCCCGCTCCATCTCCATAATCGCATCATCGTGTCTTTTCTTCCTGCTTTGAAGCAGCTGCTCCAAAGCATACACTTCCTCTTCCAGCTTCTTCTTCTGAACAGCCTTGGCCTCCACTTGCTCTTGCAATTCCTCACGATCTACCTGGAAAGCCAAGCTCATCTCCAGCTCATCAACAGCCTCGTTGAACTGGTTGTTCAAGTCCCGGAGCACCGGCTGGGAAGAGGGCTGGCCTGGAGCCGCAGACGATCCAATCGACTGCTGGGACCAAGTCCTCGTAACGGCATGGGCCGGAGTCGTCATCCCGCCAGGTGTCTCGACACCCCCACTGGGTGCAAGACCGTTGCCCCACCCTTCGCCGAGGTTAGCAGGCAAAGTAGGCTGCTCAGAAAGAGGGATCTCAGAGGCCGGAGCTGGTGCAACGTTCGATACCACGGATTGTCCTGATGCCACAATTAGGAACATGTGTTGTGCTCATATCTATAACTTTACAATATGTGTATGATATGTGCATATGCAAACACAAAACGTGCAAACACATATCGATATGAGTGTGTATATATGTGCACCAGATAGATTTTTAGGTGTATACATGTTGACGTAGATATATAATACATACATATATATATATATATATATATATATATATATATATATATATATATATATAATTATATATATGTATATATATATATATATACACATACACATGACTATATGCATATATATATAAGTGCGAAGAGTTTATGCGTGTGTATGTCGCATATCATGGAGGTGGTAGATTTCTGTGCGTATTTCCGCATAAGAAGAACAGTCCTCGGCGTAGCTCCTGGGCTGCTCTCACAATCTCATCCCTCATCTGTGTGCTGCTCGGGGTGTCCGGCAAGGCCTTAAGAAGAGACAGCGTCTCGGGGCTGAGACCCAAGTTGTCCTCATCAACCGACTCGGCCTTCACCTGTCCATTTCAACTGCAGCATATATCCTCTATGGATAGAATTGAGACAGACATAGAGTTATGCGTGGGTTTACGAAAAGTCTGTATATGCATATATGTATAGAGGTATATGTGTTTATATACACAGAGAGCGAGGCATGTAAATTGTATTGAACCAAGTATTATAATATATGTATGTATATATATATATATATATATATCTATATATGTAGATACACACTCAAGGTGTAATTGTGTGCATGTGTATATATATATATGTAGGCATATGAACATGCATTCATGTATTCAGAGAACCTACACATATATGCTCTCTATACATGTGTCATACATATACCAGTTTCTATATACTGGGAAGACATACACACACATGTATGCGTACACAAGTAACGACGTGATACAAATGTGACTATAGCTACACTGGCGGATATTTATGGATAAAATATACCTGCATCTACTCTGATGCCCCCCACTTGTGTAAAAAAAAACCGCCTGGCGTGGCGGCGTCACTGGCTGTGGGCCCGAGGGGTTAGCTGTCGAGACAGCTTGGCCGGCGAGGTGTGCAGCCATTGTACACAGAGCACAAACCTATATATATATATATATATATATATATAGTGCATGTATAATCAGAAGGCCAGCGTACACATACACAATGCTCCGTCGCAAACCTGCGGCCGTAGATCTGCGGCGAGAACAGGAATCCCACAGCTCAACATGCGGCTTCACATCATGTAAATATATACACATAACTCGTGGAGTCCCTGAAGATCTGTTATTTGCCCAAGGGATCCAGACAGTACTTAGGATATAGAGTATAGAAACTCCACATATATACTAGTATCAGTATCATATATATATATATATATATATATATTAGGCCAGGGTCTGGGGTCT